GAGCAGGTTCTACTGCCCTCGCTGCGAAGGCCTGGGTTTGCCCTTGGGTACTGGGGAAAACGCGCACGTCGAGTCCCCTCTCCTCCACGGCCGTGACCTGCAGGACTCACAGAGGCAGGCCTTGATGAAACGGTCAGCCCCTGCCCACCCCGGGAGCCCTGTCCCACAGCTTCCCGTCCCGGGGCGGGGGGAGCGGGGAGGGCGTTCCGTGGGACAGGGTCTGTCCCTGAAAGGCCTGCCCTGACCACCACCTGCACTGCTTGGACAGGCGCTCGGACGACGGGTGACTGCTGCTCAGGGCCTCCTGGAAGGAGCGCCGGGCCTGACATGGTTTGCAAGGCCCCTCCCCGCACCATGATTTTTAACAGTCTCGCTTTTTAACGCTTTTTGATGGATTCTCTAGGGACGTCTCTGAAAGAGAGTTATACCTTAATTTAGAAGCAAATAACTCAAAATTCGGTGATGTAGCAGGTTCCTTTGGAAAAGAGATGAACTCAAGGAAGCCATTGTGGTGTGAAGCTGCCCACTGTGCTTGCCCAGGTCCTGGTGACAGGACTCGGTGTCTCTCAGCTATTGAGCTGTGCCTCCTGCCCAAGGCCACTGGGGGTCAGGGGACAGAGGGGGAAGAAGCCATACCACAGGAGGCCAGGGTGAGGCTTGCAGGGCGGCTCTGACTAACCCCAGCGGTCTCAAGTGCCAAACACGGCCCACCCAACCAAGCGAGGCCAATGAAGGCAAGAGAGGGCGATGGGCCAGTGGTACCATCCTGGCAGCCGCTGCCAACCAGGCTTCCTGGGCATGTGCACTGACAGTCCCACAGGGCCTCACGCCTGGTGTAATGCTCTGCTGTCACTGCCTTGAAATGCTTCATCATTTTTAACAAGGGTCCTACAAATCACGTAGCTTGCCCTGCCCACGTTACGTAGTCCCCACGCACCCCAGGTCTACCACAGTGTCTGCTGCGGGGGACCCACCCTCCTGGGAATACATACACCCTGAGTGGCCGTCATCTCAACTGTGCTCTTGCTTTACTCGCTCGTCAGTCCTTCTCGGTCTTTCCCGGATAACCTTCCCAGCTCGTGCTTTGAGCGGGGCAGGCTCGGAGGCCTGGCTCAGCTCTCCCGGTCCCACCGACCCTTGATCCCCAACTGACCCAGCTGGGCCCTCGCTTCCCCTACACTTGATGCCAAAGGCTCCAGGTTTCTGTCCCCAGACTCGCTCTCCCCTCTGGCTGTAACATGCATCCATGTCCTGCCAAGGGTCTAACCCAAATCCCAAGTCTCTGCGTCTCACAAATGAGCCCGCATCTTCCTTCTCAGCCAATGCCAGCTCCGGCCTTCCAGAGCTACTCTCCATCTCCTCTCCCGCAGACTGCTTCTCGCTACCCCTACGGCCCCCACCCCGTTGGGTTAGCAGCCTCCTCACCCCAAATGCTACAACATCCCTTTGCAGCCTTCTGGTCTGGCCCCCCAGCCCATCACTCAGACGAGTCTTTCAAAAGTGTAGTTAGCTCAAGACCCTGTCTCAGACTTGCCCTGGGCTTCCCGCTTCAGAGGGGCCTGCAGAGCCTCATCTGACATGCTCCATAGCTCCCCATCCCCAACACAGCCCTCTGCTGAGCTCCGGCCATTTGCACTTCCGGGGGGCCGCCCACGGATCTGCTCGGCCTCAGTGCCTTTACCCCCGCCATGCCCCCTCCTGGCACTCTTCTGTCAGTCGCTTGACTCGCCCATGGCTCTGCTGTGGCACTGCGCCAACATGGCCTCTCCACCAGAGGTTCCTCCCTTCCTCTCACGCCACCTATCCTACCTGGCAGTCAGTCACACGGCTGTTGCGTCAGCCTCCCCACTGTCTGATGTGAGCACCCCAAGAGTGGACACTGGTCTCTTCTGTTCCCTGCTGCATCCCTGTGCCTGGCATAGTGCCTAGCACTCAGCAAGTGCTGGTAAATATTAGCCAAAGGAACGACTGAATGAACAAAGCGTGTGAAGTTCCGTTTTGCTCTGGCTCCGTAGAGACGGCTGATGTCTCTGCCCATGTGCTCCTGGACCCGTCAGACAGTCCCTGTGAGCTCGCAAAGGCCAAATATGAGGGCTGAGGGTGGGCGGAACCTGGCTCAGGAACTTTTGGCTCTGTTTATGGATAAGGACAAGGCGGCTCAGAAAGCACGGGGCCGGGCCGGTGGGCAGCATGACCAGGTCCTGGCCCAGGCTTTCTAATTCCTCACCTGCGGCTCTGCCCTCTCCCCTCCCCAGTCTGCACAGGCTGTGTCAGGCCACCATGTCATGCTCCTGCCCGGGGCTGACACAGCATCTGCCCCAATGCCTGTCCATTTCCCTTCAGCCTCCTTCCTGCCAACCATGGCGCTCGAAGCCGGCCTCTAGGGACTCGGTTACCCCAGGTTTCCTTCCTGGGGGCTGTGGGAGAGCAGTGTGCTAATCTGCCTCCTTCAGAGTTCCTGTGAGCTCCACCATGGCCAGCTGCAGCGAGAATGCCCTCCAGCTGCAGTGTTTTAGATCTCCTGAGGGCTGGCGTGGGGCAGCACAGCGCGGCTTGTCCTCACACCCAGGGGGGAAGGCCCGGCACACTGTTACCGCAGGCACACAGAAGACAACCACGCTGTGGCCACACCCTGAGCCTGAAGCCAGCCTTCCCTGCTGTTCAGAGCTCCATTCCACCAGCCTCTCTGCGGGGGCCCGGGCAGCCTTACCAAGTCCACCTGGTTACCCAGAGTACCTGGAATCGCCCGAGAAGCTCCTGAGATCTAGACCAAGGCACTTTTCCTCCTGGGACTCCAGGAAACAGAAGAGCGGAGAAGTTGGAAAGGAGGGAGGAATTTATTCCCTGTCTCCCAAATTCAGAGTCCATGGCAGGCCCCCGGAACAGGGCTGGCACAGACGTAGAGTGAAGCACCTCCCTGAGGGTAGGTGGGCTGCCTGCTCCCTCTCGCTGCAGCAACCTGGGCCTCACCCAAAAGCTGAAAGTGGGTGTGTGTCTGGGGGTGGGGCTGGGAGGATCAAGAAACACAGATGAGTAACAAACAGCCTCTTTTGAGGGAGAGCAAAACATCCCTGGGAGCGAGCAAGGGAGCAAGCAAGCAGATCTATGGCAGAAGGTGACTCGGCCTTCCGAGGGGGAGGGATTATGTCTTCTTCACCTCCTGTCTCAGAAAACCAAGGTCTGTTAGAAGAACGTACGAGAAGAGTTCTAAACCAAATGCCAGTGTCTCATGGCTGACGGCACGCCACTTCGTCTGAGCCCGAGCATGGCCAGGCCCTCCCGCGCCACCAGCCCTTGCACGGAGACTCCCAGGCCTCCCCTGTTACTGCTTCCTGACGTCCACACCCCAAAGGGACAACAGCTAAACACCATCCTCCATCCTGGCACTTCACACAGTTCCCTGGCCTTGATCAAGGGACAAAGTGCCTGGAAGGGCAATCCTAGGCTGCAAGGAGCTCCCCCCCACCCCCCACCCAGGCCTCTCAAGCTCTTCCCCAGGCCCACCCCAGCTCCTGGGTCACGTAGCTGCTCCCTTTTACAGAGGAGAGGACTGCAGCCTCCACTGAAAGAGCCACAGCTGACAAGCAAAGGGGTCCTTCTTCCCCTAGCTCCCTCAGCCCCTGTTCGGGCCCCCACCCACCTTCGCTGCCACGCCTCCCATGCGTCGCCAAGCACTCCCTTTGCTCCTGCCAGACTCAACTGCCCGAGCTCAATCTCGTGTCTGGGTCCATTTTTTCCCCTCTGCAACGCCCTCCCCAACTGTGCCTGTGTTCTTCAAGCTCCAGTTCAAATGTCACTTTGCCCACAGGCCTGTCTGACCCTAGACTGGGTCACGTCTCTGAGGTCCCTCTGGAGACCTTGCACCCACACTCAGGGTTGCGTTATCTGAACAGAGACAGTGCTCCCCTGTGGGGTGGTGAGTCAGTCCCTGGAGGGCAGGCCCAGTCCACTCCCACCCCAACTCCAGGCCCTGGGGGAACAAAAGCTCAGTAAATATTTGCTTAATCGAATTTGGCCAAGGAGCCACCTCCAGACACAGCCAAAGCAGCGGGACTTGGTCCCCAGGGTAAGGAAATCACTTGGGCAGAAAAAGCCAGTCAGGGACTGGGCTGCCTCCTCAAGCCCAGCCAACTTCGCCTACCAGGCAGGTCCCTCCATCCTCAGACACGGACTCCAAGGAACCCTGGTCTCCCCCTGCCTTTCCATCCTTGTAAGACAGAACCCCAGTTCTCGGCCTAGGCAGATTCCTGCCATCACCCAGAGGCTCAGCACCGCCCTGATGGCAGAGTCCCCTCAGATCTCCGGCAGGATCGCGAGCCCCAGCCCTGAGGCCCCCACACTCCGCCCCCCAATCACCCCCACCGCCTTTTAAGGAAAAAATATTGAGCCAGGAACATATCAAAATCGCAGTGGGTCGATACTCGTCTTGCTCTAAATGCCTCGGAGCAACCTGCTTGCTGCAAGAGCAGTGACCGAAAACTGCGAGCCATCCGTCCTCGGGCCCAGGCCTCCAGGGCCCTCTCCTCCGTTTCAGCCAAGGCCACGCGTCGGCGCTCCCGCCGCCCTGGTCGCCTTCTCCCCGCTCCCCCGAGAGGGAGACCAAGCCTCAGCGCCGCTCCCGCAGGTCGCTTGGCCCGGCCCTGCTCCGCACCAGCGACTGCTGGGTTGGGGGAGCCGCGCGGCATCCCCAGCGGCTGCTGTCCACCATCCTGGGCCCGTAGCCTCCGGCTCCTGCCGGCTCTTCGGCCCGGCGATGCCCCTTCTCCAGCACCTGCCCGACCCGCGGCCACCCCCTGCACACCTTTCAGGCATCTCCACCCTCGCCGCCCCACGCCGCGGCAGGGCATCCCTGTCGCCTTGCCCGACACCCTCAGCCCGGGCGGATCCCCGGCACAAAGGCCCGGGCGGGGCCCCGGGTGGGGGTGGGGTAGACCCACTGGCCGCGCCCCCGGTCCCCCGAGGCTCAGCTGCACGCCCCGGCTGCGGGTCCACTCACTCACCTCCGGGCCGCGGCACCGTGCATCCGCCAAGCTGCTCCGGGCGGCGCGGGCAGCGCGGGCTGGCGGGGTGGCAAACGCGGGCCGCGGCACCTTCGTTCCGCACTATGCGGGCGGCGGCGCCCGCGCGGGGACGTGACCGGACCGCGGGCGGCGCACACACTCCGGCCGCCCTGGTTCCCTCCGCCCGCTCTCCCGCGCCCCCCGCCGCCCGCGGGTCCGCCCGCCCCGCGCTGCCGCCGCCGGCAGGGGGCGGAGCCGCGAGCGCAGCGCGTTGCCAGGCCAACTGCGGGCGGGGGTGCCGCGCGCCCGCCGGTGACCACGCGCCGGGCGCCACCTCCCCGCCACAAGCGCCGGCTCCCTACCCATTGGGTAAAAGCGGCTGACGGGCGCGTCCGCGGCCCAATTGCAGCGGGCATGGGCGGGGCCGCATCTCAGCGCGCGCCGCAGTCCGGCACGCGCTACCGGCGCAGGCGTCCCCGGACCCGACTACCCAGACGTGGGGCATCGACCCAGTGGAACTTCCTCTCGCAGATCCAGAGATCCAGCCTGAAAGCGATGGATCTCCCCTTCCCACGCTCGCCTCCTTCAGCTCGAAATCAAACTCGGCTTGGCCTTTTCTGAGCTCCTTAACCTTGGGCAACTGACTAACCTATTTGGGCCTATTTTGTAAAGTGGAGCTAGTGGCACTCGCTTCCCTGACTTGTCGCGACAGTCCACTAGAATGTGCGTAAGTGCTGTGCAAACCCTAAAGGTTTACACCGGTGAGGCTTGTGCAGCGATGGGAGGGGCATTAGTCATCTTTTTGCTCGTCCCCTGCCCCTTTCAGGGTCCCTGGCAAGCCTGGCCACGGAAGATTGCCTTGGGAGGGCTTGAAGGGAGAAAGGCCCAGGAGCTGTCCTGCTAGATCAGAGAGATGAAAGGGAGCCAGTGTATTTAAGGCCAGTGTCCCATTGACCCCTTTGGGAAGGAAGCCTGTAGAACGCTTGGGATGCTCAGCAAAATGCATCTGAGGGCAGTCTGCCAAATTCTTTTTCAATTTCAGCGGGAGCCCATCTATGGACCTCAGAGCCAGCAGCCCCTCACTACTACGGTTACAAGGCTGTCTTTTCCATCCTTGTAACCTGAAGCTTTGTACATCCTAGAGCAGCCCTGGTAAAATGCGGAAGCTCCCAGCAAAGACGAGCCTTACTACTTTATACTGTCATGGTCATCTTACAAGGAGCACGCCACTCGTGGGGATAGAAGCACGGGAGCTGACCATTGGCAGGGGTAGATGAGGTGTTGACCACCCCCCAGGTCTGTGGTCAGAAGATAGGGCAGGGGCTTGGCTCTGCCAGCTGGACACTGGCATGTCAGCATCATCCCATGACCTCTCAAGTGTGATTCCTCTCCTGTGAGATGGAAACCATTGCATTATCTACCCTCTGGGTCGTGGCCCACCTGCGAAGGGGCTGCCTAAACTGTCAGGGACAGGACAGAGGGTGATGATGGGCATCCCGAGGTGAACCTAGACCTGGCACAGTGCTAGCTGGAGGTGGGCCAATGAGGACCAAAGGAATGTGGCCAGCAACTGAGGGCTCCTCTGTGTGCATGTCCTCCATAGCACCAGGCTGGGTCAGGCTGGGCCTCTGCCCGGAGGACCACACAGACCAACTGCTGTGACACCAGGAAGGCAATGATACAGGCCCTGCCCTGAGGTGGATTAGCGGGGAGAGGGGGCTGAAGGTGAAGCACAGGCCCAGCTCTGCTGCCGTTATCTGGACACCCTTGGGTGACTTATCTGGCTGAGCCTCAGTTTTCTCTTCTCTCAGAAGAGGATACCAATAAACTGTCCCTAGAAGGTGATTCTGAGGAAGAATGCACATGGCACATGTTCAAAGATGAATGAAAGCAGATTCTGCTGCAGGATCAGGGGTCAGGGTTGAGCTGCTTGCAGGGGCAAACCTAGGTGCGAGCACAAGATGATCCTCCACAGCAGGGCCGGTGGGAGACCAGAGGCCAGCCCACTGAGGGGCCTGATGGGGCTGGCTGCCGCCTCCCTCACCTGGCCCTGGTGGCCACCTCCCAGTGAGAGGTCACATGGTATCAGCCAATGACTGTGACCCTTCATACAGCAGTCCTTACTGAAGACTCTCTGTAGTAGCCACAGTTCTAGGATTTAGACCCAGCCCTGCCTGCGAGACCCTGCTGTCCGCGGGACAGAGGCAGACAGTGGAACATAATCCGCCATTACAGCTGCTCAAGGCTTGATGGAGGAGACCCACCAGGGCTCCGAGGGCACGCGGCAGGGGAAGCACTGGGCCCTGGGGCGGCAGGAGAAGTGGCTGGTGACTGGGGGCAGGAGGGAAACAGGTTCCAAGGTGAGGAAGGCACTGGGCGTGAAGGGGCATGAGGCCTGGAAGAACCCCGAGAACCAATGTGGCTGGAGCCAGCGAGCATGTGTGCGGATGCAAAGGCACAAGGCTCCTGTGGGGCTAGGAACAGTTATGCCAGGAGGACGGCACATGTGTGCAATTGGGGACACTGGCCTGAGATCCACCAGAGTTGTTTTTTTTTAATCCTCACCTAAGGACATGCTTATTGATTTTAGAGAGAGGGGAAGGGAGAGAGAGAGGGAGAGAAACATCTATCGGGAGTTTTAAGGTTAGCTTTTTAAATTTGAGAGGGAGGAAGGCAATTTTTTGTTTCACGTTTACAGTAGGCATGTTCCCACAATGTGTGTTGTCCTAATATGAAGAATCAAATAACAAAACAACAGCGAGTCAGCCCTGAGAAAATAAAGCAGGGAACTCAGCGCGTGAGGCCAGGTTCAGTGTAGGGCCGTGGGATCACGGAGCAAGAGCACGTGTCTGGAGATGGTGGTATGGTGGCCGCAGCCATGGAGAGAAGGAGCTGGTCCTGGCAGGGCAGGGGAGGAGGGGGACCAAAGAGGGGCCCACGGGAGACACTGGAGGAAGGGTTGGTATTTACTAAGCAGTTGGAAAGGTGGCCAGAAAACCAGGTTGTGGAGCGTCTCCGAGTCATGGGAAGGCAGTGTCTCGAAAAGGAAGGCATGGTTAGCTATGCCACGTGCTATTGCGAGCAAGGCTGTGTAAGCTGGGGACAGAGAAGCATCCCCATGAGCAAAGGCAGGCAAGATGAGGGCCAGTTGCTAGGAGTTCAGGGCGTGGGGGCCACACAAGGCTAAAGCTGGACAGGCGGGCCACTATGAGTTGCGGCGGGCTTTCGTGCCAGGCATGGGTGTGCAGTGCCCAGGGCTGGGGCCAGTGCTCCGTCCTGAGTCCTCTCTGGCCAGGACAACAGAACCGGAGGCACCAGCTGGGGCTCTGTGGTAGGAAGAGGGACGGCCCTGGTGATCGAGCCTGTCTGGCACCTCATCAACCCCAGCAGGGCCAGCTGCCTGAGTAGCCCCTGGAAGTGGTGTCAACTGCTCCCCGAGGAAATGACCAAACCGCAGTTGAAGCAGGGACCAAGCTATGGATATTGTGACCCTCCGTCCTGGTGGAGTTTTCGGGCTCATCAGCCACCGAATCCACCCTGGAGCACCAGCTCTGCTGAGCCAGACCCTTCCCACACACTGGTGGCCGGGCCTTTGCCCTCTGCCCTGCGGGGCCCTGCTCCGCTGGGCCTTCCTTCCTGCACATCAAGGGCATGGAGGACCCTAGAATTCCTCATCTACACACGTGTCAACCTGTGCTGTAATGGCCGGTCCTGGCTGACTCTCCCACAGCCCCCCGCTCCCTGAGGGGGGTGCCTCGCTGTCTATGGACCTCTCGCGACAGTCCCCTCCCGGCTGACTTGGCTCTGCGTCCCACCTGTCCTGTTCCCCCAACCCACACCGGCCAGTTCTCAGGCTGTGGCAGGCCACGTGGGTCTCTCTAGTTTGTCTTCTTGGGGTCTGTGCACTGTCCCCCGCAACATACACTCTTGAACAAGCCTTTGCAGATCTGGGTTAGTTATAAATAGCCAGGCCTGCGACTCTCCTTTTAGCTGAAAAGAAGCAAAGTGAACGAGCAGAGAGGCACACCCGGCACATATTTTATTTTTAATCTCCCTCTGTCTCAAAAAGAACCCGGGTCCTGGTGCTCAGCATTTCTGGGAGCAGAGGCCTGAGACAAAAGCCTGAGGAACAAAACCCGGGGGCCCGAGGGCCCGGCCCAGCGCCGGCTGCTGTGTGCATGGCCTCAGGCCCTTGGGTTGCCTGTCTGGGTGCTCGGTTTCTCATCAAGGTGGGGACCAGTGGCGGTGACTTCCAACTCCTGACTTTCTGACTTTGATCCCCTCCCTGTGCACAGCCGCTCCACGGCCCCCAGCCTGTGCCTGGGCTTTCCCTGGAAGGCCAGACCCCGGTGTGGGGGTGGGCCACAGTTAGACCTGGACCGGATGATGCACAAATGCCTCACCCCCAAGCCTTTGCTCAGGTGTCCTCAGCTAGGAACCTCCTCCCTCCATCAGCCAGCAAAATCCTCAGAAAGTGAAATTGTCACTTCCCCACTGTGAGCCAGGGAGGCGCCATCTAGGTTGTGGCTGAGAGGACCCCGTGCCAGGGGCAGAGAGGGGCACCGGGGAGCAGGGCAGGGGCAGGGGGCCCAGGTGTGCGCCTGTCCTATCGGTGGTGTGTCTGGAAATGAGGGCTGACAGCGAGGCTCAGGTGCCCGGGGGAGGTGGCTTGTGGGGATCATTAATAGGCACTCCTGAAGGGCAGGGACTGCATGGCTTATGTATTTTACTCCTTCCCCTGCATTGCCACCCCACAGACTCTCGCTTGTGCCTGGGACTCAGTGTTGGTGGAACTTGGGAGACTCTTGTTGTGCTAGGCCCAGATGCTCTGGGCGTAGAGTGACAGCCCCTTACACAGAGCGTGTTCCCACCCACTGCCCCACTGACACTGCACAGCCTCCCACAAGATCGGCTTGTTTTAATAATGAGAAACCCAGGCTCAGAGAGGTTAAGTACCTTGTTCAAGGTAACAGAGCTGGTATGTTTAGGAGTCCACCTTTTTTTTTTTTTTTAAAAATAAATCTGTGTGTATTAAATCTTAAAAAGCCCAGTAGTACTCTTGAGCAATAGGAGACTGCTTTTCCCGTCATGAGAAGCCTGAGCACAAAGAGCTGCTCCATCACCCCAGTGAGAAGCTGACCAGGGCCACGGGGAGCCACCGGACCTCCGCCCTGCGGCCCTGCCCCTGCGCCCCTCTCACTCTGCCCCCTCCCCCCCGGGGCTGCCATTTGATGTCCTTTGAGAGTGAGGGAGAAAGACAGGGGTGATGTCTTCAAAGAGGAAATCCCTGGTGCTAATTGGCACTCAGAGACCTTTAGGCTAATTAACCTGTTTGTCTCTCTAGAGTAAATTAGAGGGTTTAGCTGGGGAGGGCGGAAGGGAAAGGTGTTTACCGGTGGCCTCCTCTGTGGGGGCCGTAGGTGGCTTCTCGGTGGGCCCACGGTGTGAGCCGTCGGGGAGGTGGGGGAGAGGGTGGGCTTCAGGGCAGTGGCGAGGGCCGCCCTTGTGCCATGGGGAAGGGCTGCCCTCTCTGGCAGCGCCCCGCTCTCTACCCCACAAGTGCTGCTCTGAGCACACAGGAACTGGGCCCCTTGGGGTGCCGCCTGGGACAGTTCTGGGCTCCCCTCCCCGCAGCCACGCGCAGACGTTCCCCAGGAGGGACTAGCGCTGGAAGGAGCAAGGAGCGAGGTGGAGTCCCGTGATGAGGGGAGCTTACCTTGCTGTGCCCCTCCCAGCCCCAGCACCCCAGCCACGCCACGTGGAGCCCCTCCCATGGGGCCCCAGACTCCTTCAAGACCCTTTGGCCAGAATCTAGGGATTGCCTGTTCCCTTTGGTTGGGGATGTAGCTTTTTGGTGGATGAGATCCTGGCCTGTTCACTCTGAATCTTCCCCCTCAGCCTCCTCCTGTCTCCAAGGGCTAGCTAGACTGGTCTGGGGTCTCTAGCAGCTTGGAGATGTTGTGGGTGGGAAGGAAGAGCTTGTCTGGTCCCCCACTCAATGCTTCCCTCTGGTGCAGGGTGTGGATGGGACGGGAGCTCCAGGGATGGCTTGCTGAGCTCTCCCAAGAGGTGGCTCCTGAGCACCTCTTTAAGGCTGATGCCCCCCAGCCACAGGCACCCATAGGCTGACACCCTCCTGGGTTTTCTGGTGGTTACCCCTCTATCCCCGCTTGTTACCCAGAGCCCCCTGCTGCTGCCCCATCCCCCTGCCTGGCAGCGGGGGCATTTGCAAGTTGTCTCGTCCGGCCTCCTGCAGAACCCTGCCGGGACCCTCCTCGCCCGTTCCTGCATGATACCCAGCATGGGTGGGCGCATGGCAGCCCACCCTCAGCACCACTTCCTTTCCCCCAGGGGTCCAGGGCATTGTCAACAGCAGGCTGATCCCCTCACTGGTGTGGCAGCTGCAGAGAGAGCAGGAAAATATCCAGGAGCTCCTCCTGGACACGCTGACGGCCTGCCTGCAGGAGGGTGCCGCCGAGGCGCTGGCCAGCCGTGCGGTGCCCTTCCTGAAGGAGAAGCTCCTCAGTGCCAATGACAACATCCGCAGCAAAGCTGCCTGCGCACTCACTGCTGTCAGGTGAGGCCCGGCCGTGCAGCTAGAGGAGGGCGGGCGGGAGCGGTCAGCCCTGGGCCGGCCGCTGAGGCACGAGGAAGGCAGCCACTGAGCCGCCCTGGCCTTGCAGCGGGTCCAGGGGATCGCAGCCGGGGGAGGTCCCACTTCTCTTCCCCCGGAGACATGCAGCACCTGGCAGAGTGGGTAGAGACCAAGGATGCTGCGCCACATCTCATAATACACAGGACAGCTTCCCGCTTCCCCCTGAAGGCCCCCGGCCCCTTTCCCCAGCAAGAGTCCAGGGGCACCGAGGTGAGAAAACCGGCTCTTGCCTCCGCAGACCTGACAGCTCGGTGGCCTCACAGTGTCAGAGCCAGTGGCTGGTTAGCCCTGTGCTTCCCAAACTGGGACACAGAGCACCTGTGTCTTTTCAAATATTATTAAAGAGTTTTGCCAACATGGAAGTTCTGAGGGAAGCAAAGTTTGGGAAAGGCTGATTCAACAAAGTGACCCAGGGCCCTTTGCTGCAGGAAGAACGTGCACTGTGACTCCCCCATAGGGCCTGTGGGCAGTGCTTCCTGGCTCAAGAAACCGCCCTCCGCTAGGGACCGCGTTGGCCCCTCACGCACTGGGGAGCTCTTTGGAAGGCCACCACTTTCATTTTCACATCTTCATAGAAGGCCAGGGTGAAAAGTGACCAAAAGGTCGTCTCTCTTGAGGTGGCTGCTGTTTGCGTGGCTCAGCCTGTCCTAACAGCTGGGACTCTTATGGAGACAAAAAGGAATCTCCCTGTGGCCCCCGCCCTGGCCCTGCTCCTCCCTGTTTTGGTGCCGGGGATACGTCTGGTTTCTTCTTTCCATGATGCCTTAGGGCCAAGCTCCATCACCAGCTGGCTCCTGGGTGGTCTCACTTTCACTGGCCCCAGGCCCTGCTTCCAGGTTTTCTGGGTGCAGGAGTGAGGCTGAAACCTCACAGCGGTGCTCCCCCGCACCCTGGGCCACCCTGGCCAGGCCTGGGCCACCCAGGATGGTCCCAACACAAGTCCTTTTCTCTGTTGTCTCCCTGGGGTGGTCCTGGGCTCTGCTCCCTACCTACCCCCAAGCAAAGCCACCCAGCTGTCCTCTCTTTGGCCTAGCATCCCTCTGGAGGGCAAGAAACAGGTGTGGCAATATGACGTCATCCCCATCCTGGTGCACCTGCTGAAAGACCAGGTGGAGGAAGTGCGAGCCAATGCTGCGGGGGCCCTCATGTGCGCCACAGTGACCACGGAAGGTGAGGCAGCCTGCTGGCGGGGTGTCCAGGTGGGGGGTGTCCCCTGTGTGGACACTGGAGCTCACTCGTCCAGCGAGCAGTCACTACAGCCTCCCAGCCTGCTGGCTACCCTGGCCAGCTTTCCGCAACGCCTCACCTTGCCCCCTCCCTGCCCTGCCAAAATACTCCAGGACCGTTGTCGAAGTCCCTTCAAGTTTGGGTCCCGGGCTCCGCCTCTTCTTTCTGGCCATAGCAGGCCGCCAGCCCATGGCTCCTCCCAGTCCCTCGGTCACTCGCATTAGGATCGCTGTCCCTTCCCTCCTGGATACTCCCTGGGCCTGGCATTTCTGCCTCGGTCCCAGGCCTCTTGCGAGCCATGATTCTGGGGCTGATTAGTTTGCCATTCATGATTCGGTTATCCTGAGGTCTAAGTGAACATTGGAGCCCTCGCTTCTGTGGCATTTCTTGATTGAAATTACTTTTCTCAATTTTGGGTGAGGGTTGGTTCTCAGAGTATAAGATTATCTCCCCAACCCTGGGACTTCCAGCCGCTCAGGCTTCTATATGCTGTCACCAAACCCTGGGCGGACAGAAGGGACCAGGGCCGTTCTCCCACCTGGAGGCCAGGGCAGGCCATCCACCCATGGTGACCTCTGAAAGCTGTCTGCCCCTCCCCTTGTCCCGGGCTTCCTTGTCGTTCCTGGGTGTGCTGCTGGGTCTCTGGTTCTTAATCGGCACCCTGCAAAGACCCCAGCGTGAAGGCCCCCCACCACTCCCCACTTGACCCTAATGGTGGAATCTGAGACCCTCCAGAGGGAGAAAGGCTGGGGCCTTTCCGGAGCCCGCACCCCCATTTTGATGGTGCCGCAGGATGCTGGCCAACGGGCAGCGGGGAGCGGGGGTGTCCCCTGTGCGGTGTCTCCACCCAGGGCTCCTGTGGGAGCGCCGAGAGGGCCAGAGGGCTCCTGGGGGCCCGGGCGATGGCCTGAACGTGGGCACGCGAGCCAGGCACTCCACTGTGCTGGTGGCGGGGACCCAGACGTCTGAGCCTTGGGGCTACAGTTGGGTGGGAGTGACGGACTCGGCGAGTGCTGCGCGCACTTGGTGCAGGACGGGGCACAGCCTCCCGTGGGAGGGGCGCGCGTGTTGACCCAAAGCACAGTGGGAGTTAGCAGGGCAAAGGCGGGGCCGGGCAGGTCCCAGGAGCAAAGAGAAGAGTGCAGAGGGCAGGAAGTTTGGGTACAGGGGACAGCCCCGTCTTTTAGCAGGTGAGGTAGAGTGGGGGTCAGACGAGGCAGTGAAGGGTGAAGGAGGGGTGTCTCCCTCACATATTAGTTACTGTCTGTGTCCCCCACTAGCCTGTAAGTGCTATGAAGGCAGGCACTATGTGTCTTTTTGTGCCTGGTGCACAGTAGGTGCTCAAGAAATAGTTGCCACATAAGTGAATGACTGGATGCTAATTTTTAAGAGCCCACTCGCGTTGCCTTGTGAGGACTGGCTTGCGGAACTGGCACCAGGTGGAAGGGGAGAAGCCAGTTAGCGGGCAGGAGGGGCAGGAGTTGATGGGGTCTGACTGAGTCTGGAGGCAGAGGAGGGTGCAAGGGCCTGCATGGGGGTAGAGGAGGGGCCTCCGGCAACAGGTGGTTCCTCCCGAGACTGTGCAGGTTGGAGGCGGGGAGAGAGCTGGGGGGCGGAGGCCCCCGCAGCAGCGCCTGGTGTTGGTAACCCACAGGGAAGTACGCGGCCCTGGATTCAGAAGCCATCCACCCGCTCCTGAACCTGCTGACCTCGCCCTTGAGAAAGGCCCGCCTGAACGCTGTCAAGGCCCTCACCATGCTGGCGGAGGCGCCCGAGGGCCGCAAGTTCCTGCAGGCCCACGTGCCCATCTTCCGAGTCCTTGAGGTGGAAAACAGCGAGGCCGTGCAGCGGGCGGCCCAGGTAGCCATCAAAGTCATTGAGTGGAAACCCTGAGGCTCTTATAGGGCCAGATCCGATAAGGCTCATGCCTGAATAAATGGGCTGAATTTCTTATTCTTGGGTCTGAATGTCACTTGATGTTCATGGAAGTTGGTCACATTTCTCTCTCTCTCTTCTGCCAAAGAGGAACTGCCCAGCCCAGAAAGACCAGGTCGCAGGTGGCCAGGTGAGGCAGCACGGGCTGAGCACAGGGCCCAGGGGAGGCAGTTCTGCTCCCTGCTGGGGCCAAGAGTCTTCTCAGAAGGTAGAGGGCAGGGCTGAGCCTTCCAAGGAGGAGATGGGGGGAAGGGATTGGGCTAGAGGAGGAAACACGGCTGGACCAGGCATCATCTAAGCTCCGGAGACTGGAGTGGCCAGGCCCTTGGGATGTGCCTGGACACGGTCCAGCTCAGCCAGGTCTGCCCTCTTCCCACACTGGGTGGAAGGAAGGGAGGTCAAAGTGCACTCTTGCTGGAGGAAGGTGAGTTGTAAGAGGCCCTCCCAGGGATGAGCAGTCCAGACAGCGATGCACCAGAAGGGCTTCCTCCCAAACAGCTGCATTCGCCTCTAAAGGCAGGACGTCACCTGAGCGAGCTGCAGGCAGGCCTGAGACCACTGTCTTCCCCCTGCTGTCAGCCTGGCCTCGGTCTGGTTTGCCTCCACCAGCCTGGCTTCTCCCCTAAAGAGGAATTGGCTGAAGAGCTCAGGGAGGGGGTAACCAGAGATACATGGGGATCTCTTAACCCCCTCCACACACCCTTGCCTGGTCTGGCAGGGTGACTGACCTCTAACCGGCTCTGACCTCCGTGGGAGAAGCTGCAGAAAGAATCTGGGGCTTAGCTTAAGGGCTGGACTCATTTGTCTGGGCTGAGCTAGAGCCTTGATCTTTCCAATTGAGCTTTCGGAGGCTCCCTGCTTCAAACAAGGCCTCCCTCATCACACCCCCACCCAGCAGCCATGTTTTCTGTGGGATGGGCCCTCCCTAGCTCATGGCATGCCTACTCCTCCCAGAGAAAACACTGTCAGCAGAACCAGAGATGCCCAGTGAGCACCGTCTGGCTGTCCTTTCGGCAACTGGGGCCTTTACTTTCCTAGAAGAAATGCAGAGAAGCCTGTGTCCCTGGAATTAGAGGATTAGTGCAAATAGTTCCAAGAGGGTGTATTTGTTCTGAAAAGGACTGGTTGCTGGGCCCAGCAGGGGTCAGGATGAACCTCATTCTCAAAAAAAAGAGTCTCATAAGGGGAAACCTTTTCTCCTTTAGGAAAACGGGAGCTCCAGGGGCTCCGATTCCTCAAGTCCCCACTTCACCTCAGCCCCCAGCGGGCTGGCTCCACCCCGACTGCCTCATGGAGGGCTCTGACCTGAGAGCTCCGGCCGCTTTGCTGCCAAGGCCCGTGCCCTTTGTGCAGCGGCCCCAGTGTAGGCGTTCCCTTCCCGTGGCAGCTGCCTCCTCCCGAGGCCCTGGCTGTGCTCTCTCAGTGTCCTTTGGAGCCCCCTTTCCCTCCATGACCAGTGGTATCAGAGCTTCTTGTGCTGTCTCCCAGGCCCCCTCCCACTCGCCTGCACAGTCTCATCTGCCGGACATGGGCCTCCTCTGCTGGGCTCCCTTCTTAGCTGGGCCTGCCTGCTGCCTTCTTTCCTCCTAATCCAGGTCTCCAGCCCCAGCCTCTCTCATGAGTTCTGGACCCTTCTACCCAACTTATCATCTATCCGTTAGTGTCTCCAGGCAAGAATTAATACCAATCTTTTACAAACTATTCCCCTCAAAACACTTCCCAACTCATCCTGTGAGGCTGATATTACCCTGATATCCAAAGCAGACAAAGACCTAGGAAAACTACGGATCAATACCCTTTATGAATATAGACACACTCAATCAAATGTTAGCAAACCAAATCCAAAGTTAAAAAAAAAAAAAAGCATTATACACCATGACCAACTGGGATTTATCCCAGGAATGCAAGGTGGTTTAGCCTATGAAATGAATCAATATAACAAATAGAATAAAGGACAGAAACCACATGATCATCCTAATAGATGCAGAAAAAAGCCTTTGACAAAATCCAACACACACACACAGACACACACACATACACACACACACACACACACACACCCTTTCAGAAAACTAGAAATAGAGGGAAACTTCCCCAACATGGTAACATCTGCAAAACCTCATAGCTAACATTGTACTCACTGGTAAAAGAATGGATGCTTTCCTCCTAAGGTCAGGGACAAGACAAGGATGTCTATTTCTCATTATTTCCATTTGACATTGTCCTGGAGGTACCAGCCAGGGCAAGTAGGCAAGAAAATGAAATAAAAGGCATCCAAATTCAAAATATAGATGTGAACTATCTCCATTTGCAGACAACATGATTTTGTATGTGAAAAATCCCAAGAAATAAACTTTAAAACTATTAAAACTAATAAGTGAGTATAAAAGAACTCAGCAAAGTTACAGGACACAAGATCAATACACAAAAATTATTTTTTATACACCAGTATCAGAAATCCAAAAACGCAGTTAAGAAAACAATTCCATTTACAATAGCTTAAAAAATCATAAAATACCTAGGAATAAATTTAACAAAAGTACAAAACTTGAGTGCTGAAAACAAAATATTGTTGAAAGAAATTAAAGAGGAGCTAAATAAATGGAAAGACATCCCATGCTCATGAGTCAGAAAACTTGATATTGTCAAGATGTCAGTTACAATAGAATCTTCATGGAACTCAAACTCATCATGTCCCAAACAGAGCTCAACCTTTCCCCCCAACACTTGCTCTTTTTCCAGCGTGGCTAGTCTTTGGAATTGGTGTACCCCTTGCCCATGTGCTCAAGCCAGGGTGTCACCCTGGCTCCTCGCTCCAGAAGTCTAGTCACTAAAGTCTTGTTACTTCTAACAGATGGCTTCTCTTGATACCATTCCCTTCTTTTTAGTTCTCTGCCACTAACTTGCTTGATTCTCTAACAGTCTCCTGCTGGGTGTTCGGATCTCCTTTTCGTCTTTCTGCAGGAGGCCAGCAATTCTGACCTTGTAACTGTCCCGCCAAAGCTCCCAGGGACTTAGGATCCCAAAGTGCACAAGGCCTGCGGTCAGGCTCCGGCCCACCTTGTCCTCTCACCTCACTGTTTTCCTCTGCGCAGGCTATGTCTCAGCGTCCCCAAACATGCCTTCAATGCTTGCCTTGCGTCTTCCTGCAGGCTGTCCCTTCTGTCATTCAGCTAACTGACCTCCTCCTTCAGCTACCAGAGGCTTTCCTTGACCCCCTGAGGCTGGGGGAGGGGACTCCATGCTGGGCTCTCCTGCAACGTACACTGTGCGTGGAGGGCCAGCGCTGGCTCGGTGTCAGACAGGGCTGCTTCAGGCCTCAGGCATGCTCCATACTTATTGGGACCCCTTGCTGAGCCTCGGTCTCCTGCCCTGTGAAATGTGGTTCATTCTAGTCCTTCCACAGGGGCGATTCTGTGGCCTGCATGGGATAGTGTTCTTACCGCAGGCAGGAAAACAGCAGGCCACTCTAAATGCTGGTGGTCATTTGGAGGGGGAGAGGCCTGACCTGCAGGCCTCACATGCTTCGGGATCCTAAGCTCCGCTAGTGTTTCATTCTGTTTCCCCCTTAGGCCATGTGCTCTGTTCACAGCTGTTTCCTTGCAGCATCTGGCACATAATAGGCACTCAAAAATGTCAGCTGAAGGATTAAATCAGGGGCGAGGAGCTGGTCATGTTAATGCGCCTTCAGAGTACGATTTTTGGGATGCCGCTGGGTCTTCTCAAATCACTTCAAGGCACTCAAGACTTTTTTCTCAAGACACAAATGATTTATTTTGGTCTGAAAGGAATTAGGAGGGGGACCCCTGTGGAAGCACGGCCCAGGAGTAGTCTATATTTGACAGCTAAGGGGAATCTAACCCTTGGATCCAACCTGCAATAACATCCCAACAGCTTGCAGACTGGGAGGCACTGGGAAGCCCTGGCCAAGGATGGCACGGCAGCAGCCAGACAGTGCTGAGCAAAGGGGGCCTGTTCACTAAGCAGAGACCACCTCAGCCCCTCCACTGGTCCAGCAGGAGCCTGTTTCCATCCACAGGCAGATTTGGCTCCATCTGGTCTGTGTGGTCACCAGTGGGCACAGCACCTACGGGCAGGAAGCCCAGCACGGGCGTGGTGCTTACACTACATGGCGTCTGTGCCATCAGGGGCCTACATTTAAAAAGGAAAAGGGAACAAGGCAAGTGAAGGCTGGGTATAGGAAGGAAATGGTGATAGTAAAGTAAACACAAGTAAAAATCCCCAATACATCTAGAGATAAAAAGCCAAAATTAAATTTAAAGTGAAAGTCAGTGTTTATGCAGTAGAGTCATTTGGAGAAAATGACTCATTTCGTAAAGGAACAGATGTTCTCATTTGCATAGTCTCTGCAATCGAGAATGGACTTCACTCTGTCCCCTCAGCACACAAGCCCTGCAGCTGGTGGCACTGGGTGAGACACAATGAGGGAGCGTTTTCCATTAGTGTAATCCTTGGTCCCATATCTGTGGGTCTCCCGGCAGGAAACACTACCTCCCTGCAATGGTGAGCGAGTCTGGAAGAGGCGGCAGGTTGCCTACACTTCCTAGACGCCCCCGGGCCCCAGCTGTTTCAGTGGAAGATGATGTGGCACAGGACTGTGATCAATATCAAGAGGAACCCACTGACATTGACAGCTTTTCTCCAGAATGGCGACTCCGATGTGTCATGGCGCTTTGTCCCTTCCCGCGTGTCACTGCGCTCGGTCTCTTCAGATGGGGCACCATGCTTCTTCACCTTCTCTGTGGTTGCCTTCTCTGGAGCCAGTCGGGAGCCTGGCTTCGGCTCCAGGCCACAGAACACGTCCAAGGCATCCCACAGGCACCTCTGGGGCCCCATGAAAAAATCTGGAACAGAAGGAATGGGCAAAGGTCAGGAGGTGCAAACCAGGACACAGGAGAAAAGACGAGGGAGTCACATCTTAGTGGTGAGTCCAGCAGGAAGACCGACGACCTCACTCTAATATTAAGACCAGTCCTCAGCCCCTGCAATGGAACGCCTACCGCCATCCTCAGAGACCTGGGAAAGTGGGACAGGGGACGAGGGGAGCCCGTGGGGGTAGCGTGGGGCTGCCTGGGGCCATGCTTGCCTTCCACTGGCACAGACTTCGGCTGGGCCCAGGTCCCCTGAACTGGGTGGCAGAGGTGTTGCGGGTCCTCTGCCATCGCAGGAGCAGGCCCTCCCAGGTTGGCTCCGGCATGGCCCCCTCCTCCGTCGCGGGCACAGAGCTGAGCACAGCGCTGCAGGTCTGCGGCAAGTGGCTGCTCCTCTGAATCCCCCTCCCCAGTCACTACTCCCCCGAGGATGGAAGAAATCTGCTGACTTCTTGAGTCCCTGCCCTCCTTGGCGATGTGTCAGGGAACCTCCTCTCCAGGCAGGCGTGTCTTGCAGCCAGGCCCCAAAGAAGGCTCTCCAGGCCCTTGAGGGGGAATCACTAGTGTTTTCAAGGGGGCAAAGGAGGGAAGTCTGGGAATTATAGAAAAGTTTCCACTCGTTTCTCTAGGCCACATTTGTGTAAACACCAAACTCTGGGGCTTAAACTTCACTCCCATCAGTACAGCGCGCCGGCTGCTCCTCAGGGCCGGTTCGGGCGCGGTCAGCACCACGGCCAGCGCCGGCACCTCTCCCACCCTCCCTGCGCCCCGCGCTGCCTGGGGATGGTTTCCTCCTGGAAGACCAGACAAGAACATTTCAGTCGGAGCAGATGCCCAGCAGTGTGTGCTGTAACGTGCTCTGCGTCTTATCCCTTCAAGCAGCCTCCACGCCGGCTGCGTCCTGAGGCTCAGGAGGCACTGGGAATGACGGGATCCATCAGCCAGGGATGGAGGAGGCTCTGTTCCAAGGGGAAGGTGGCCTCAGCCAGAGAGCCCTGAAGCCAGGGACACCGGTGTCTGCTGTTGGTGCGGAGAAGCCCTGAGCAGCACACTCCGGCCTTGCTCCCTCAGATGTTAGAACGCCAGCGTGCGGCTGCCAGGTCCAGGGAGATGGCTTATGGGAAAGGCAGCCGATCATTTGACGACAGCCTAAGAGCAGCGTGACGGTGGCCGGGGTCGGCCAGCGGCCAAGAGCACACACTTTGCAATCAGACTGCCTGTGTTCACATCCCTGCTCCACCATTGCCTAGTTATCCAAGGACCCTGGAGCAAGTCATTTAACTGTTCAGTGCCTCAGTTTCCCCATCTCTGAAGTGAGAACAATTGCACTTCTCACACAGGAGAATTTTGACAGTGCCTGGCACTTTTCAAATGGTTGACGAACGTTAGCCGCTGTCATCATCAGACACCTGTGACAGTGGACTGGGGGCGAAGAGGAGCTGAGAGGTGTGGCAAGAACAAGCACCCGGCCCAATGCGGGCACCCAGTGAGCCAGTTCCCCCCACTAGAGAAGAGACACTCCCAGGGAGCCCTGTATCCTCCAGGTGCAGAAGGGCGCCTCGCTCCGAGAGGCCACTCCCCTACCCCACACTGGGCCGGCAGGAGCCCCTCCAACCCCAGGCCTCCTCTGCAAGTGACAGGAGGGAGCCCGGGCCTCTCTGGGCTCTGAACTTCCCTGGCAAGCGTGGAGAGGGGGCCCTAAAACTGCCTTCTCCTCAGGCAGCCTCTTCCCCCCTTTCCCCCTCCCTCCCCCAAAGCCACTGCTCCAGACCCAGGACTAATCTCATTAGGCCTTTATCCCTGTTTGTGTCAGGGCCTCAAGCTGCCCAGGTCACCCTCTCTGTGGCCCTGAAGACTCCTTTTGGACCAGATCTGCTGAAACTCTTCCTCTGGGCCGCCAGGCCTGTGGGCCCAAGCCTCTGCCTGGAACATTCTCCCTTCTTCCTTGGACTGAAATCTAGTTGTCCCTGGACCTATTTCCCTCAGTGCCTTCTTAGGTGGAGCTGCTTCCCCGCTTACAGACCATCTCCTGCCCCCTCCTCCAAGAAACGCTCTCCTTTTGAATCCTTGTGTGAGCCTCGCCACTCCCCCGCCCTCACCCAGGCACACGATCTGCGTGGCTAAATCCAGCAGTTCTCAGGCAGCTTTCTTCGCCCATCAGCATTTGCCCCAGTGGACTGATCACCTGCCCCCTGCAATGCTTCTAGGCCCCTGAACACTTCTGCTCTTCTGCCCCTTGGCTGGCTCCTCCTCATGGCCTGGACCGTCCCCTTGCTTCATGCTGGTCCCCTCCTTACCTCCCCCACCCCGCCCCTGCACCCCGGGGGTGGCCCAGAGCTTCTGCTGACATCTCCCACGCATGTCTCTCCAGCCCAGATTGCTCCCCACGGACGCCCGAGAGGCACCTTAGCCTGAGCAGCCCCGCAAAGCCCTGGAGGCATCTCAGGAGAAACGGAAGACAGGGCCTCTGCCTGGAACAGCGCTCCCGGAAGCAGAGATGGTGGCCAGGGGCTGCTGGGGCGCAGCACAGGTCACGCCCACCCCACAGAACGAGACCCTCCCAGGGCTTTGGCTCCCCCTTCTCACCTGGTTGTGCTCGTGCTGCGTGTCTCCTCCCTGGTATTTCTGCATCCAGGTCTACCCTTTCCTCTTCGCTATTTCGTAAACTCCAACAGAGCCGGTGGAGCTGGGGGAGAGAGGGGGCATGTGTCCACTCACGTCCCTGTCACACAGGCCTTATGGTGGCATGGCTGGCAGGTGGGCACTGGGGTGTTGATGGACTGAAAAGGGATCCAGTCCTTAGACTCCAACAAGAGACGGAAGGAATGTGGGGTGGGAGGCATGGCACTTGGGAACCCTGGGTTCGGTTTTGGCTCTGCTACCGTGTGGCTGTGTTGCCTCGGCAAAGGGTGACCCAGCCTGCCAGGTCTCGGTCTCCTTCAGCTGCACAGTAAGGCCTGGGAGGCAACTCACTCAGGGCTCCTTCCAGTTCTGAGGGTCCAGGAACCTGCGCCCTTCAGGGTGAGAGGAGCCACCTGTCACCCCTGGTCTACTCCTGGTGGAGGCGGCCCTCTCGCTGGACGGAAGGGACAGGGCAGACCTGGGAGCTGCGGTCTCCCCTGGCTGTCAGGGGTGGGTGCTAACTCGGCCCAAGGGGGGCCTTGCCCAGTTTAGCTGGTTAACCTGGCCGCTTGGCTGAGCTCAGTTGCTCAAGCTCCACAGGGCATTTGCAGGTGCAGAAGGGGAACATTCCTTCCCTCTTGGTCTCTGACTTTGTTCTTCTCCTGAAAACATATACGGAAACTTTGGGAAGTAACAAAATCCAGCCAATTGTTGCTTTTGCTACCCCCCACCCCATCCCCCACCAAGGGCTGGGGTCAGCCGAAGCGCTACTAAACGAAGGTTTCCACCAAGCCTATCCCGGAATAGATTTTAATCTATTATTAAACCGGCCTGGTATATATTAATCTCAGTGCCCCCTCAGGGATGTGAATGAGTTGGCCTGGGCCCCCGCCCCAGCCAGCACACCCCACGCCCTGCCTGAGGCCCTCCCTTTGGATTCAAGCCTTGTAACTAAACTGCTGTTGTGTCAATGACAGACACTGGATTTAGCCTCTAACTGCTTCCTGATGATGCCGTATGTACTTATTTGCCTTCCCAACTACACCATCAGCCCTCTGGGGTGAGGTCGGGGCGCGCTGGGACAGCCTGGGCCCACCTGCCGTCCCACCTCCTTGGTAGTGGTGAGCAGAGGGCCTGGCCCAGTGCCTGGACACCGACACTGAGCCATAAACACCAGTTTCCCCCTCACGCTCCGACCCCCGCCGGCGGCAACCCGTGTTCTCCAGAGCGCCTGGCCCACTGCTAGGCAGGTGGGAAACACTCAACAAGGACTTGGTTGCCTGAAGAGCAGCCGAAACCAAAATGCTGAGAGTAAGAGGAGGGTAGAAAAGAACACAATTTAAACGATTAAGACCTTGAGCAACAGGAAATTAAGTCCATCACCCCCAACTTCCCAAGGTGCCAGAGCAGGGAAGTCCCCCACTGTCGCTGAGGCAGGGGTGGTGTGTGGTGGGTCTGCACCCCAGCGATCCTGGCTGTCCTCCCCATTGGCTCCATCCCTCTTCCAACTGGGCTCTGTGTGCAGGCAGGGAAGGAATCACAGGGGAACTACTTAGCAGCAAGTGTGGCCAGAGGGAATGCCCAGCGGCAGGCTGGGGGCCCCCAAACTGCCTGCCAAAGTCATGACTTTTACCTACACCCCAGGCAAAGGTGCAGGAGGGGCACGGGAGTATTCCAGATGCTTCTCCCTCCGGAGCTCCTCTAGAAGCTTTGGACACCCAGGACCTCCCTGCTGCTTTCTGGCTCGGCCAGGGCCATCCCTTGGAGCCTGCCGGCCGCTCCGCAGAAGTGTGGTGGAGCCAGGTTGGGGCACAGATGAGTCATTTCCTAGTTTTGGGACGTTGGACAAAGGACCGAACTGCTAAGTGCCCAGGTTTCCACCTGGGGTGACTGACGCCTGCCTCCTGGGAAGTATGAAACAGCCTTGTTGGGAGAGGCCCCTAAGCTGGTCACCAGGAGAGGCCCCTGAGCTGGTCACCGTGGCTGTAGAGTAACTGTCCCCTCCCTCTTCCTGTTGGCTTAATTCCCTCTGGGTGGTGGCAGCTGGGATTGACCTGATTACATTAATTCATGCTGAGGTTAGGGAACTTAACACTTCCAAGGAAAATGTGTATTTTAAAAGCCAAACTTCTCATTATAAGTAAATACCTGGTTGGCAGAGGATTGTTGAAAAGCTTTTTAATTTAGCTTTGTTTTCAAGGCGGCGCCCTCTCTGTGTTATTTGCCTAGGTCTGATCCGCCTCCAACCCTAGCCCCAACCCTCCTACTTTCAAAACAGATGCAGGAATTCAGCCACTTTTGCCCAAGGCCCAGAGCCAGGGTACTGTCCATTGGGACCTGGGCCTGTCGGCTGGCCCGGGAACATCCCAACAGCAGCACTTACGTGTTTATCCGGGATTGGGTCTGTGAACAAGGAGATCCCCAGGATGATGAAGAGGCTGACTACAAAGAGGAATATGGTGAAATAGAGGTAGTGCACGCCACAGATGATCGGAGGGCACTTGTTCTTTGCTGAGCAGGTGTGGGGTCCGTGGACAAACTCGGAGACCATTCGAATGAAGCCAATCAGGAGTCCTCCAATCAGCCCCCAGAAGGCACCCTGCCGAAGAAGGAGCCCCAACAGTCACCTGAGAGGAAGGTGGGTGACGAGACAAACCACCTTCAGCCTCCCCTCCCTGACTAGTTGAGTTCTAAAGTTCCCCTTGTCACAGTAAGGGCTTCAAATACTGTGCAGAAGCGTGTGAGCTCCAGTGTGGAGGGACCTTCCTAGGCTGAACAGAGACCTGAGGTGCTTGCATTCTCTCTTACATTAACCAGAGAACTTCAGAAACACTGGAAACACTTTTAGGTTGGATCGTAAACAGGTATCTCGAATGTAATGTATCCAAAAAGACCCCAGTCCTCCTTGGTGCTGCCAGGGGCTCCTCCATCTCCTCGGCTGCTCAGGTGACAAGCCCAGGCATCTCTGCTGCTGCTGCTCTTTCTGTCCTGCCCTCCCACCAACCCAGCAGCAGATCCGCAGGCTCCACGTCTAAAGAGTCTGTGCAATGCAGCCGCTCCCATCTTCCCTGCGGCCGGCACCGCAGTCGCAGGCCGCCACCTCTGCTCGCACAAGTGGGTCCCCTCCTCGGCCTGCTGCTTTCCCAATGTCCCCACAGAAGCCAGGGCGGTCTCTTCAAGGCCTGGATTGGAGAAGGCCATGCCTCTGCTTAAACTCTCCAGTAGCTTCTCTCGGCTCCCCAGCACAATCAAGCTGTAATTCTCCCCTTTAATGGCCCCCGGCCTGGCGCTGCCACTCTCCCCTTGGTCATTCCACTTTGGCCACTGTGTGTGACCGTCTCCTCCATGTCCAAACTGCCCACTTTGCTCTTGGCTCAGGACTTTGCACTTGTTCTTCTCCCTGCTTGGGTCCCTTCATAGACCTTAATACTTCTAACTCATCCTTCAGAGTTCAAATTCAAGGGCATTTTCTTAGAAGTCTGCCACCACCTTGGCTACTGTCCTCCACCCCCCGCCCCCACCCCAGTGCCCGCCCTGCCACCTCCTTGGTCCTTTTTCATCTTTAATCAGCACGACATCACTATCAGAAGCCTCTGCCTGCTCACTGGGTATCATCTGTCTCCTGCAACTAGGCTGTAAGCACGCTCCTGAAGAGCGAGGACTTCATCTTGACCCAGTGGGGGATGCATGTCGGAGGAGACACGGGCTACAGTATGTGGGCCAACATCTTGGAGAAAGAGCTCAAACCGAACGCCAGGTGGATGATCCACAGGAACCATTTACTGAAGGAGCTGTGTAGAAAGGACAGGCCTAGAAAAGGAAGGGCAGCAGAAGCCAGATGAGCATGCCACCTGGAACAGGGTGGGAGTGGGCCTGGAGAAGTTCTCTAGGAGGAGGGCGGTACCCACGACATACTTATAACCGTGGATCAGTGGTAGGGGGAGAGCCACTGCCCAGATCCCCAGGTGTCCTTGGTGCTAGGCCCCAACACCTTAAGGCTGGTGTCACAGGTGGGAGGCAGATTGGCACTGCCTGCCCCTCTTGCCCGTGCTCTCTCCAGGACAGCAGAGAGGAGGCTCTGGCATCCCTGGAGCCCAGCCACGCATCACCCACACGTGTCGGGGCTAAACTGAATCCCAGGGAGGTGGGTGGAGCAGGGAGCACGAGCAGGGTGGTCTAGAGAGCTGAACACTTGAGATGAGCCTGGGAGGAAGCATCAGCCAGGGGGAGAAGGAGGGAGATATTTCCAGCAAAGCAAACAGTCCACGCAAATAAAGGGAGGCCACCGAAGGCTGGAGAGTCAGGCTATCAGCACTGCAAATCAGCAGGAGGGCCGGGGCCAGGGGCTGTGCTGGGGAGCGCAAGGGCTGAGAGGGAGGGAGGGGCCAGATCACGGAGCGCTTCAGGCCCTGTGCTCAAGAACATGTGCAGATCGATCCCAGCAGCTCAGTGCTGTTAGGGGAAACAAGTTAAAATATGACTCAAATCATAAATAAAAATATTCTGGCAATCGTGTGTTCGAAGTCTCGTGAAAGCACGACTGACCTATCACTGGGACCTTTATTTAAAAGGTGGCTGGGAGAGACGTTCCTCACTGCAGGAAAGGTGGAAGGAGCCCACGGCCGTACATCCCCCTGTGAGTGTGGAACCTCTAGGCAGGACACATCCAAGGCGAGAGGCAACAGAAGAATATTTGAATATTTTCCTATAGCCAGATGTGTGTCAGGGAGGGTCACACACATGCTTTGCTTCGTCTATGGCACGGTTGAAAGTGGTTACATTGCAAAGGGAGGAAAACAAATCGGAGCTTGCCTCTACCCCACAAGCATAAGTGGGAGCACGGCCCAGATCTTCCCAGGAAGAAATCATCTCTCAGAAAGCGGCTGATACAGTGGTGTGAGCGCCTGAAGCGCTCGAGGCCCTCCTAGGGCAACGTGGCCAGACAGCAATGACGGGAAGCAAGCCCTTACGCTGTGCCCTGCGGTGGCCACGCCACCCCCACCTACCTGCTCAGTGACTCTCTTGCAAAATATGGCGAGCAGGAAGATGGCAGCAGTGGGCGGCACCAGGTAACTCATAACTGCCTGCATGTAGTCAAACAGCTGTTCGCTGTGCCCCATTTGAACAACGTGGACCCAGATGGTGGTGAGAGCAAGTAAGATTATAACAAAAAACCTGTAAATTAAACCAACAGTCAAGGGCAGTTTGATGGGATTTTCCCCCCCCTGCCAATAAAATAGCTACAAACCATAAACTATTAACTCAATTATTCCTTAGGTTAAATCCAGGTGCCCACTCATAAGTGTGGGGCAGAGGAAACCGGCAGACCCCCAAACACTGACGGGGCCATACAGCTGCTGACAAAAACCTTTCTACTTCTGAACAAAAAAAAAAAACAGTGTCGGTTTGCCTGTCGCTGAATCGTGGGTATATTTTTACCATATATGTAAGGTGGGTGTGGGGCAGTCCTGCTTAAAATATATAATGCACAGAAGAGTTTAATTTCTTGAGGGGTAATACACTTTCAAACGTTTCAGACAGGCTCCCCGCTGCCAGAGGGGAAGGCGCAGGGCACGATGGTGGAAAGAAGGGAAAGGGATTAGTCAAAAAGCATGTAAGAGTGACTGAAGGGCAGGGACAGCGGGGCGGGGGCTGACCGTGGGGGTGGGGAGGGCTGGGCAGAGGCGGCAGAGGGGAGCCAGGGGACGGCTGTAACAGAATAACAATAATAAATAAGTTAATAAACAAATAAATAAAAGGAAACACTCCCTGAGCGCCACACACACACACACACACACACACACACACACACACTTCAGACAGATTTGTATGGCACATGATTTTAACAATTTCAACAAGTTTCAAAAAGTATTTATTTAAATTTTGCTGAAAATTTTAAGGAACTGAGTAGAGGTTCCAAATGTTCATTATCTTTTCTAGGTGAAAGATTTTAAAATATGTGATTATACATAAAATTACATTAGATCAAATGTTACCCCAAAAATGAATAAACCTTATTATTTCGGTGTCAATAAAGCTTAGACATTGTAATGTTGAGAGAGAGAGTTAGAAAGCAAATGATGTTAGAAAGGACAAATACCTTGATAATCAAAAGAGAGTCAAAGAAGTGAGTTCCAGTTCCACTAACGATGGGCTAGCTGGCTTGGGACTCACTCTCCCACATGCGACAATGATAAATTCAGGGTCAAATATAAAAAACAAACAAAACACTGAAGAGTAGCCAAAAGTAGGCAGAACGGGGGATGGGGAGGGATCCATTCTTTAAAGAATGGAACCACGCTGGGCGTCTGCCTTTACCCAGCCCCTCCCCTGAGCCCTCCCGGGCCTGTAGGGGGCGGTGTGTGGCTAGAAGTTAGACAGAGAGCCTCACTCTGAGTGGACTGGAGTCAGAAGACAGGGCGTGGGGATGCAGACCTGTTGACACTGTTTGGGGAAAATTCCAGAAAGTTGGGAGCCTAGAGGGAGGAGGTCCAAATTTGTGCACAAACCCCCCTCAAACCCTTGGCTGACCCCTGAACTGTGCACGTGGAAGAAAATCTCCAAACAGTCCACCAATAAGCAACTGCTAAAAGGCAGAAAAAGAAGAGAAAGATTTCAGCTCCTGCCTACAGCGGGGAGACAGAAATTGGATTTGAATTCCATTAGGTTAGAATGGCTTCCTAACCACCTCAGGATTTTCACTGAAACCCCTAAAGGACTGTCCTTTAAACATTGTATCACAGAACTAAGAGTCTGTCACAAGACTAGAGCAAAGCTGAAACAGATCCCCCCTAACACAGTGTAAAACCAGGCTGGGCAAGTTGGTTATCAGCTGGTAATTTACGCATGCTCCAACAAAAACCAACACTCTTCAGAGGAACATGATGGAATCTTTACAATATATTATCCACAATGTTCGATAGCCAATAAAATGTATAGGGCATGTGAAGAAATAAGAAAATGTGACTCACAGTCAAGAAAGAAATCAATCAATAGACTGACCCCAAGATGGCTCAGGTATTAAAATGAGCAGATGAGGACTTCAAAACAGCTATTAAATCTATATGATGGAACTTAAAGGAAAGGGTGATGAAGAAAGATCCTATGAAAAATTCTAACTATAAAAACTTTAAAAAGAAACTAAGTAGAATTCCAGAATTAAAATTCCAGTTCCATATATGAAATGAAAATTTTGCCCTGGCTGGTGTGGCTCAGTGGATTGAGTGTCAAGTCAGCCTGTGGACTGAAAGGTCACCAGTTTGGTTCCCAGTCAGAGCACAGGCCTGGGTTGTGCGCCAGGTCCCCGGCTGGGGGCATGTGAAAGGCAATGAATTGATTTTTCTCTCTTACATCAATGTTTCTCTCCCTCTCTTTCTCCCTCCCTTCCGGTCTCTCTAAAATGAATAAATAAAATCTTTAATTAAAAAAAGAAAAATAAATTTCGGTCACTGGTCTTATCAGATTGGAAGTCATAGAAGAGAGGTCAAATGAACCTAAAGGCAGACTGACAGAAATCTAAACTGAAGAACATAGAGAAAATAAAATAATAAATAGAGCTTCAGTGACCTGTGGGATATTATCAAAAGGGCTAATACATGTAGAGTCCCTCCCAAAGAGGAGAGGTGGAGCAGAAAAATACACAAAGAAAAAATGGCCAAAAATATTCCCAATTTGATGAAAACCATTAATTACAGATTCAGAAGCTTAGCAAAACCTATCAGGATAAACACACACACTTGCTGCATACACACTCTTAAGCACATCATAACAAAACTGCTAAAAACCAAAAAGGAAGAGAAAATCTTGAAAGCCATAGGAAAAAAGATACATTAAGTACAGAGAGCAGTATTGTGAACTATGGCTGACTTCTCATCAGAAACAAACGGACAGAAGAGAATGGAAGAGCATTTTTAAAGTGGTGAAAATACTGTCAACTCAGAATTCTATACCCACCAAAAAATACCATTAAAAATAAAGGTGGAATGAAAACTTTTTCTGATAAAAACAGACAAAAAACATAAAATATATGAGTTATATAAAATACTACGTGTGTATTTATTTTATTTTATTTTCTTTATAAGGCAATTAATATACCACTATAACTGTATTGTGGGGTATATTATGTATGTAGATATAAAATATATGACAATAATAGCGAAAGATGGAAGTGAAAGATAAATGCCATATACTGTTGCAATGTATTTACATTTTACATAGAATGGTACACTGTTAACTCTAAGTAGACTGTTATAGGCTAAAATGCTTATTGTAATGCCTAGAGCAATCAAAAGAAATTAAAAACTATTTCAAACCATCACAAAATAAAATGCAGATGTCAAGATTCAGCTCTATGTGCTCTACAAGAGATGTCTTTAAAGATGGTATCTCTCTTTAATGAAGTTGCAGATTCAAAGTCAACATACACTAACAATGACTTACCTGAAGAAAATAATCCCATTTATAGCAGCATAAAAAACAAACAAACTTAGAAATAAATTTAACCAATGAGGTGAAAGGTGACTATACTGTAAGACACTGATAAAAGAAATTGAAGATACAAATAAATAGAAAGATATCCTGTTTATGGATTAGATGAATTAATATTATTAAAATGTCCATCCTGTCTAAAGCTATCTACAGATTCAAGGAAATCCTTATCAAAGGCATTTTTTACAGAAATAGAAAAAACAATCCTAAAATTTGTCTGGAATCACAAAAGTCCCTGAAAAACCAAAGAAATTATGAGAAAGAACAAAGCTGGAAGCATCACACTTCCTAATTTTAAATTATATTACAAAGTTATAGTAATCAAAACAGTGTGGTACTGGAACAAAACCAGACACATAGACCAATGGAACAGAACTGAAAGCATAGAAATAAACCCACTCATGTACGATCAACTAATATTTGAAAAGGGAGTCAAGAATACTTACTGGAGAAAAGAATGTCTCTTCAATAAATGGTGCTGGAAAAATAGAATATTTACATGCAGAGGAATGAAATTGGACCTCCATCTTACAACATTCACAAAAATTAATTGAAAATAGATTAAATACTTAAATATAAGACACAAAGCTGTAAAACCGTCAGAAGAAAATACTTAGAAAAATTTCTTCACACTGGTCTTGGCAAAAAAAAATTTTTTTTTAAATATAACACCAAGAGCACAAGGAACAAAAGCAATAAGAAACAAACGTAATCCAGATTACATCGAATAAAAAGTTTTGTACAGAAATAGAAACAATCAACAAAATGAAAAGGCAACCTATGGAAAGAGAAAATATTTGCAAATAAGAACACATCTGAAAAGGCGTTAATGTCCAAAATTATAAGGAACTCATACAATTAAATAGCAAAAACCCAAATCACCCAATTAAAATGAGAAAGGACCTGATAGACATTTTTCCAAAGAAGATATTCAGATGGCCAATTGGTACAGGAAAAAAGGCTCAATACCACTAATCAAAAAAGTGAAACCAGAATTACCACGTGATCCAGCAATTCCACTCCTGGGTATATATCTGAAGGAAACAATCACTATCTTTTAAAAAAAATTATTGATTGATTTTAGAGAGAGGGAGGGATGGTAGGGGGGAGAGAGAAACATCGATTTGTTGTTCCATTTATTTATGCATTCATTAATTGTCTCCTGTAAGTGCCCTCACTGGGGATCGAACCCACAACCTTGGCATATTGGGACGATGCTCTAACCAACTGAGCTACCTGGCCAGGGCCTAACAATCACTATCTTGAAGGGATATCTGCATCCCCATGTTCACTGCAGCATTACTGACAATAGCCAAGACATGGAAATAACCTAAGTGCCCATCAACAGATGAATGGAAAAAGAAAATGAAGTACTACACACATGATATATTATTCAGTCATAGAAAGAAGGAAATCACGCCATTTGTGACAGCATGGATGGACCTAGAGAGCATTATGCTAAGTGAAATAAGTCACACAGAGAAAGACAAATACCATATGATTTCACTTATATGTGGAATCTAAAAAAGAAACAGAGCAGATTTGTAGTTGCCAGAGGCCAGAGTTGGGGGTGGGGTAAGGGAAATATATGAAGGTGGTCAAAAGGTACAAGCCTTCAGTTTTAAGATAAGTAAGTTCTAGGAATATAATGTACAGCATGTTGACTAGTGTTAACAGTATTAACAGTATTATGTTATATATTCATAAATTGCTAAAAGGGTAGATCTTAAAAGTTCTTATCTCAAGAAAAAATTTTAATAATATGAGGTGATGATTATTAACTACACTCATATAATTATTTCACAATATATACATATATAAAATCATTATATTGTACACCTTAAACTTATACAATATTATATGTCAACTATATTTCAATAAAACTGTAAAAATGGTGTCGCTTCTAAGCAGTATATAGCTGGTTTAAAAAAATAGTCTGATAAACTTAACCTTATAACTCTGGTATTTAGTCCACCTACATTTCATGAAGTTACTGATATATTTGGGTTTATATGTGCCATTCTATTATTTGTTTTCTATTTAACCCATCTTTTAAGTTCTTTTTATCCCTTTTTCAAGTTCTTCTGTGATAATAAAATATTTTATTAGTTATCCCATATTTTCCTTCTATTAACTTGTTAGTAAAACATTCTTGAACTTTTATTGCTTAGTATAGAGATTACATACACACTGGATATATCATGGTCTAGCAGATTACCTGCATCCTGGACATATCAAAGTACAAGGTATTATTTTCACTATATCCCAAATAATTCTAGAATTCCAGCTAATAAGTTCCATTTAGTCTCTTCTCATTTTCTCTATTATTATCATATATTTTGCTTCCATGTTATACATCCCATTGGAATTTTTTTCTTATGTGGTGTCTTAACAGACAATACTCATTTTACATTTCCCACATGTTTACCCTTTCTGATGTCCTTTATTTTTTTTTTCTGAAGTTCAGTTCTTCTGTCTGGGTTGTTTTCCTTCAGTCTGAAAAACTTGCTTTGGTATTTCTTATCTTGAAAGTCTAATGTAGTAAGTTCTCTCAACTTGCATTTATCTGAAAATACATTTATTTCACCTTTATTTTGGAGACTATTTTTGATGGGCAATGAATTTTAGGTTGGCATATTTTTTTTTTTACTGTTGCTTGAAGATGTCATTTTGTTGTCTTGGGGCTTTTATAGTTGCTGTTGAAAATTTTGTTGCCTCTTTGTTGTTTTTTTGAAGGTAATATAATTTATTTTCCTCTGGCTACTTAAAGATTTTCTCTTTCTCTTCAATTTTCAGCAGTTTTACTATAATGTTGTCAAGGAATGTTTTCTTTTGTATTTACCCTGCTTGCAACTTGTTGAACTTCTCAAATCTCTGAATAGTGGTCCATCAGTTCTGGAAAATTCTTGAACATTACCATTTCAAAATTTCTTCTACCCAATTGCTCCTCTCTCTCTGTGAGTCCAGTTGTGTTCCATGTGCGTCTTTTCCTTTTATCTCTGTATTTCAGTTTGGGTATTGACAGTTGTTCCATTTCCAACCCACTAATTGTGTCTTCTGCTACGCCCAACCATTTGTAAACCTATCCACTGAGTTCTTAACTTCAGATAGTTGTTTTTCAATTTTAAATATCTTTGCAATCCTTTCATAAACTCTAATTCACTGGTGAAATTCTCAAATTTTTCATTAATTTTTGTATATCTTTTCCTCTTCTTATATATATTAATCATGGTTATTTTAAAGTCCTTGCCTAACCTGTAACCTCATCTGTGGGTCTACTTTTAGGAAATAGTTTTAACCATATATATTAGCATGAATATAATTGTAAGGGGGGACATTCTTGCCTTGTTCCTTTCTAGTTTTTTCATTTATATAATGTAGGCTTTTAGATGATACAGTGTGCTTTATCATGCTGAAAGACACCCACTTTACCAAAAACCTTTTCATTATTTATGAATAGAAACATGATTTTTCTCTTTTGACTTATTGATATGTTGGGCTATATTACTACATTTCCCAATATTAAACCATTATTATATTTCTGGGGAAAAAATCACAGTTGGTAATGCGATATTATTTTAACATTCTTTTAATATATTGTTGAATTTGGGTCTATTATTTTATTTATAACTTTGGCGTTGGTATTTAAACGTGAGATTAGTCTTCAGTTTTATTTTTTTTCCTACTGCTTTGTTTGTTGGGTTTTGGCATCAATATCTTGAATGTCATAAAAAGAACTTGTCTTCCTTTTTCCTATGTCTGTAACAATTTAAGTAAAAGCAGTATCTGTTTCTTAAAAGTTCGCAGAAAAGTGCTTTTAAACCACAAAAGCAGGGTTTAAAGAGATAAAATGGATGAGCAACATACTCCTTGATGTAAGATAAAGGAAGCACATAGACAAATGGAGGTCACATTAGTGTGTGCAGGCGGGGCGTGGTCCAAGGGCAGCCACCGTGAAACTCTATGGAATACAGACAGGGACCATGCTCCACATATGTCTGTGTCTCCCATCCAGGTCTAGTGTCACGCTGTGTGGCATCATGGTTGATGTCATGGCCTCAAGATGGACAAATTCTCCTACTTACTGTGTGACCTCAGGTAGATCAATTCCCTTCTCTCAGCCACTTTCCCCCAATGTTTCCAAAGAGAGTAAGAACAGCAAGACTTACCTTTAAAGGCTGTCATGAGGACTAAAAGAGATAATGAGATTCTGTATGTAAATTTCCTTACAATGACTACTTTTGGGGTATAGTAAACGATGCTCATTTTCATTGCTGCAATTACTTAAATCTTCTCCCAAATGAAAATAATTTTCTATGTGATTATAAAAGCAATATATCTTCATTGCAAAATAGCAGCAAAAATTAAAGCCATACTGTATATAAAAAGGATGATTCCGTATACAGTATTATAGCTTAAGTTTTTCATATAATAACATTGTGGTCATCGTTTCTTTGATAGCAGTAACTAATGTGATTAGAGGAATCCTTCACCTTCCTGTTACCATGAGCTCCTTTTCAGTGGCCGTAGGCCGTATCTGGGTATAGATGTCCAGTGTGAAGAGGGCACTGGCACTGTTGAAAACAGAAGTCAGGGAGGACATGAGAGAGGCCCACAGTGTGGACAGCATCAAGCCTCGTGCACCTGCAAGAGAAGGGACATTTCCTGGACTTCTGGCTCTTCGTCCACATCAGGAGATGCTTTAGGCCTCCTAAGAAACTTTTCTATGTACTAAATTTTCTCCTACAAAATATGCAATTTTATTTGGAGTGAAATTCCATCTACGACAGATTAAAGCATTACATTTGTCCTTGCTTTGTGACCAGACTTACTAGTTTCTTGCTATGCCTTTATATAATAATGGGAGCTAATATCTCCTGAGTGTTACTTTGTGGCAGAATATTTCCTAAGGCATTAATCTGCCTGATTGGCCCTCCTGCCCCCCACCCTTTACAGATGAAGAGCCAGAGGCTCAGATAAAGTTCAGGCTGTAGCCAAGTGTTGCTGTTCCTTGGGCCTCAGTGTCCTCATCTGTAAACTGGGCATACAGTGCTTACCACAGGTCGCTGTTAAGGCTAAGACAAATTAAGTAGATGGGTTAACAGAATCCCCAATATGCAGCAAGCACTCAGCAAGTTTTAGCTATAAACATAGCAATCTAGTATTATTACATGCGGCAGGGGCATGGCCCTGTCGGGAAAGCCTGAGGGTGACAAGGGCCTGAACTGAAGGTCCACTGCAGCAAGGCCCCTGTGATCTCTCCTGGGTTACTTGGGGCACTTGGGCCAGGCAAATACTAGTGTCCTTGGATTGACCTTCCTTCAGGCGCCCTACAGGCCACTCTCACCCACATCCCTTGAAGATGGGCTCAGATGGAAACCTGGACAACTTGCTTCCTAAACTGTGGGATGATTAGCGTTTCCCTCACTCAGATTCCATCTGTATTGTATTTTATGGAAAAGTCTCAACTTTTCCAGCCTATTGACCTCCAGAGCTAATGTGGAATTTAAAAAACAATGTACTACACTGGACATTTCCATGGGATTTCGGGGCGCAGGTGAGAAGCACGCAGAGGCTCACTGACATCTCGCAGTGAGAGCCATCTCTCTGTTGGTGAACTGCCTGTCTCCTTGCCCATCCCAGTAGCTGTGAGCTCTGAGAGCAGGACTAGACTCCTCTTCTCTCTGCATGTCTAGCACAGTGTGGAGCCCATCTGTGGAGCAAAGGTGTGAGCTAAGCCAATGAAAATTTCAAGCACAGGTTGTGCCTCTCAGTGTGAGCGCATGAGGAATGAGGAGGGAGGAAGTCCAGCTCCCTTCCTCAGGCTGTGAAAGATTTCCTTTATGCAACGGACTCTCCTACGCTACATCCCAGAAGGATGGGCGGCCTGGCAGGCAAGCTCTCACAGCCAAAAGGCCCAGGCTCTAACGGGGACAGAGATCCGGGGTTTCTACGGCCTTTGGCGGCAGGTCCATTTCTTACCTTTGGGCAGCAGCCCTACTATCAGCACTGAGTAGGCGATGGGGCTGCAGGTCGTTCCGTCGCCGCAGTACTTTTCACATTCGGAAGGTGTGACACATGCCACCTTGTCTGCAAAGAGAGGTGCAGTTGCACCAACATGTTGGCCTTGGAGCTCTAAAGTCTGAGCTCAGGGAAAGGGATGCAAACAGGAACTGTAGATTCCTAATTTGACAGATTCCTGTCTACTGGTGACTGCTCCAATTCATGATCCCACACACACTTGAGGAGCTTGGGGTTGAGGCAAGAGCTAGGAGTTGGGCGCTGAGGAGCCGAGTGAATTGATGCTTCTACCAATTCACTGCTTAACCCAAAGCAAGTCCTGTGGCCTCGACAACTCTTTTAATGATCCCCATTACTTGTTGGGAAAGCAAACAGATTATTATCTAAATGGATTACTAATGTGTGAACAACTCATAACCTTACTCCCTAAGCCCTGATAGGGGTGTTATTTTAGAGTATTTGGGAAGAAATTTTGGATAAAGGGAAGTAAAGGGAGTGAATGTGATATACCCTTCAAGAGCTTAAATAAAGGATATAAGTTACCATATGAGAAAAAAAAAAACCCAACAAATCAACATAGACTAGAAGGCGGCAAGATATTGCCTAGGTTTATGGGTAAAGCAAGCTGTTTTATTGGGGACAGCTATGCAGCTTAAGAAGTGGTTACCAAACATCTGGAGAAAGGATGTAAAAACTCAAGGGGGTGGCTACAGTGAACGTCCTTTTCCACCTGCCTACCCTCTTCCCTCTCTGCTTTGGGTAACAGCCGCAGTCTGACTTGGCCTAGTTTGCGAGGGGCCCAGGAGCCAGGCCTGGCCATTCTGGAAATTCCTTCTCCTTGGTCACAATGACTGGTCCCGATCACTCAAGTGAGTTCACTAGGACCCACCTGGGATTTCCGCAGGAACTGCTGGGAAGGGAACCCCTCTTTCTATGGGGGTTGCTGAGCTGGTGGAATAGAGGCCTGGGGTGCTAGTGACAATCTTACCGCCAGATGCCCCGAGGATGACCCCAGCTCAGAAGAAAGAGAGGCCAAACATGCGTCTCTCTTCAAACAAACAAACAAAATCCCAAGCAATACAGAGGCCTACACAGAAAACCAGACTTAGAGAGTCGCCGCTTGGCAGCGTTTGGCCCCCAGCTCCAGCCAGAGGAGAGGCCCGGCACCCAGGGCCAGAGGCACTCAGGTTACTGGGAAAACATCTTCTTCCAGGAACGTGGGCAAGTGCCAAGCTTTCATGATAAATGGTTTTCTGGCTTTATACACTTGGCATGTATGAATGGATCTGTGAACGCGGCACCTCCTGCGGATTCGGGACAAGTGATTCCGGGCCCTTTCCCGCCCCAGGGGCGCTGCCCAGAGTGACCCGTCAACTGTACTCGCCTCTTGGTCAGAAGGCTGGCTTGGCTCCCCGGGCCCACTCCGGCAGCGGCAAGAGCTAAGCCTCACCCTCTTCTCCTCCCTCCCTGAGCAGCTTTTAGAGTCCAAAATATATGCACTTCTGCCCAGCCTTGTTCTTCTGTGAGCAGGGCGGTCCACAGTATGGAGTCGGGGCGGGGAGGCAGGGCCAGGAAGCCCAGGCGACTCTTGGGTCCTGGGGAGCACAGGGGCCTATTTTCTATTTGATGGAGAGGTACCCCTTATGAGACCCCAAGGAGCGCTGCCTGACAGCCAAAGGCCAAATGTAGGAATGTTGAAATAGAACACGCCTTTCTTCCTGTTAGAACTGGAAAGGAATTAGGATTTAAAAAACAAGAGGCATGTCATGGGGCAGAGGGAAGATGGATTAGGGTTAGAGATGTCTACTGCACAGGTGGCTGAGCAGGAAGAAGAGTTCACACTCTGTCTGGCCTGGTCACAGCCCTGCAGCAGAGGATGCGCACGGATGTCGCTGGCTTTGTCCCAGGGGCTGCACCTGGCAGAGCACATGCTCTGTAACGGCTGAATGAACAAACAAACCTGGGACCCTGGGGGACAGTGCAGCTAGTAAAGCTGGGGGATGAGACAGCACCACAGAACGATGATAGTTCTTTCAGGGCAAAAGGGGTGTTTTCCATAGCATTTAATGGAAAGAATGTGGATCCTTGAGTCAGACCGACTTTGGGGGTTATGTGGAGCTCCCCCTCCTGCATGTCTCATCTGCGCAGTGAGGCTCCACAAGCCCTCCTCTGGGGCTGTCAGAGCAGGGACAACATCTGTCGGACCCCCAGCACAGCCCCTGGCACACAGGCCCGCCAGGACGCTGCCTGAGATGCAAGGGGAGGAGCTCACGCTTCCTGCCATGGCAAAGGTGGGGTCTGGCTGCAGGGAGTGTGGGTTGGCTCTTCGCTGCCTGAACTCCGCTCTCTGGAGCTTCTCTTGCCACCTGCCTCCATGGTCTCTGCCAGGCTTCTGCTCAGCTGCATCCCTACTTCAAACCCACTACCTTCCAAGGCAGCAATCTGGGCACCGTGGCACCAGTTCACTGTAGGAGACCTGCTGACCCCAAATGCTACCTAGATCTCTAAGACAGGAGTTAACTGGGGCGAACATGTCAGAATCAAGGATGTACCTGTGTACAGGATGCGGCTGATCATTCCGGGCATCACAATACTGAACATGGGCAGCAGCTTCAGGTATCCGCAAAGGGCACAGCTGCCCTTCACGTGAGACATGTTCTTCCCTGCCAGGCACCGCTGGACAAAAATCTGCCAACGAAACACAGATGGGTGAGGGAGGTGACTGCTTTATCAGAGCAGAGAAAGCCCATGCTGCCTCGGCACAGGGAGAATAACTGTGACCTGCTATGGCAGCCAAAAGTGCCCTCTGGTGGGTTTCTGCCAAGCCGCTCACCCCAATTTCCCAACCACCTCCAGGCATTGAGGGTCAGAAGAGGTGCGTGCGATCAGGAAGCATGCTCTGCTCAGTGCAGAGCTGCACGAGGGGCAGGGATGGCGTGCATGACCTTGGCCTCATCGCCGGCACTGTACACCAATCACGGTGGCACAGTGCTTCCGCTCTGTCCGCCTGCAAGGATGGGACTCCCTTCTAGAGACCACAGACCACCTCTGCTGGGTCGAAGGGAGAGAGCCCTGTGACATCAGTCAAAGCGAAGGTGGGCCCCTGGCAACAAATGAGTATTCAGGACTGGGACCAACTTCATTCATCTCAATTTAAATGAGGTAGCATAGACCTGTAAAATGCAAAAATCTCCTTCAAAAGATGTTTCACGACCCATTTCCTGGTGCCCCTGCTGGAAGGGGCAGTGTGCGCCCAGGCCGAATAGAACAGCACAGCTGGCAGGTGGAGAAGCACTTAAGGAAACACAAAGATGCGGTCCAGTGCATCAAAAACAATTCAGTATTATGTATGCACTAAAGTTATACTCTTGAAGAACATTTAAATAATGTGAAAAAAATGCTCACAGTGTGATGGTAACTAAAAGGCACAGGATGCAACAATAGCATATATGCTATGACTCTATACATAGGACAAAGTCCACAGGAATAAACCAACGTGATAACCATGGTTCATTCCGGGGTGGCAGAATTAACAGGCAGGATTTTCATTTTCTTCTTTATTTTCCAAATGTATTATTTTAGTAATAGGAGGAAGAACCCCAAAGTGGTCCTGCCTCATGCAATAGCTACTGCTTCTCAGGGGGGTCTCCTGGCCTCCCACTGCTGCCTCTGGGTAACTGTGGGTCTCTGCAGAGCAGGTGGCGGGGGGCAGTCAGGCTGCACTTCCTGGTCTATGCTTAGCGCTGTGCACAGAAGACATGGTCGCTTGGGGAGGAGCTGAAGAAGCAGGGCAGGGGCATAAATGCCTTCTGAGGAAGGGGTGATCACAGGGGCATGAAGTCACCCCAGGGAGAAATGTCTTAAGCACTCTATGTATTGTTATATGGTAAAAGGACTACTGTTTAAAAATGGTGTGGGACAAAGATGAACAATTTTCCTACTGCCACTTTGCCTATTTTAAAAATTAAAATTTCCTCTTACGTCATTTTCTTTACTAGTTAGGAAGTTATATATTCTACTTCTATGCTTTTAATAATTACCCTCAAATTTTTAACATGGATAAAACTTCAGGTCTAAAGCAAATCAACATCCTGCACCCTCTTCTGAACAGTTGAAAATCTATAGCTAGATTTAATCCCATACTGTGTTCCAATATTTTATTTTTGTCCTGTGTTACCTCCTATATTCATAATTATTATGTAATAACCAACCAATGCTGTTTTGCTCAAATCAAAAAAGCCCATGCATAGTTTTGCTCGCGTGCCTGTCAGTATCTCTGCTAACCATGCCTCCTTGCTCTCCAGTACTCTCTTTTTCTTTATGCACATCCTTCCGTCTTTCTTTAGGGACAGTAACATCTTTATGCTGCTCTTAGTTTTGACATTTCCTTAGAACTTTGAAAATTTTACTCCTCATCTATGGGCTACACTGTTGCTACTGAGAAGTCTGTTGTTAGTATAAGTATCTTCTTTCCTAAGCACAGGTAATCTTTACTCCCAGAAGGCTTTCATCATCTTCTTCTTGTCTTTCATGTTCTGAATTTTCATTATGATGTAACTGTGTGTGAATGTTTGAATTATTTCTGCTTGAGATTCCCTGTGATTCCTGATTTTGACGGTTCTCGCTATTTCAACAACGAAAATTCTCAACACTTTCCTTTAAGTATTGCTTCTCATTTCTTCTGTGTTGGAACGCCAACGAAATATCTTTCGGTTCCCATCCTGTCTCCCACGTCACTCCATTTCTCTTTCACATTCTGTGTTTTTGTGCTTTCTGGGCAATTTCTTCAGTTTTCTCTTCCAGATTCTTTTTTCCCCCCTTCAACTGTGTTTAATCCGCTATTTGAACAGTTACAAAGTTTTACATTTCAATATGTACATATTTTATTTCTAGGAGTTTAAGTTTTCAAATTTTTTTTGACAGATTTGTGTTTTCAGTTCTACTTTTATTTAACACTTAGTTTGTATTTGGTTATCTCATTTTCTGATGTTTAGGGCTCTAACTGTGCTGTTTCTTGCTCAAGGTGGTTTGATTCTTTCACGTTTTCTAATTTTGGGTTGGGGGCTCATGTTGAGCAGGCATTTATTTATGGAAATCTGTAAAACCTTGGTTAGAGGGCATTTCTCCAGACAGAATTTGCTGTTACTCCTCCTGGGTCAGCGTGTAACAAATTTTGGATGAGTTCATGTCCATTTCTTCCCATGGGGTCTCTCTGACCATATAAGGTAAATTAAAAACCCAAACATACAAGGAAGGCGAGCCTACCATTATGAATTCTTAGAGGAGACTTCTTTCCTCTTTCTGGAGCCCAGGTTGAGGCATGTCCTTTTTTTTTTTTTTTTTTGCCACTGTTCCTCCTTGTTGATAGGCAGATGTTTTCCTAGTCTACTTTTTCAGTGAGGTCACAGCCTTTCAAGCAACCAAGTTCCCCGTGGAGGGCGAACTCTTTGCCACTCATCAGCTGGAGGCCTTTCTCCTGTTCTCACCTGGGCGTGTAAGTCTTTGAGCTCCAGCACGGCCAGGGCACTGTCCGGGCTAGTGAAGCTCTCGTGAGTTCAATTCTCTCTCTGTTTTGGGCCTTCGGGGTTTTCTTCCTTTCTCATCAGCTGCTCTGTGACTACAGAAGGATGTTTGTTGTATTTTGCTGGGCATTCTAGGAGTTTTGTACTGGGAGATAGTTCGGGAAATCTAGTTGACCTGTTGCAAGAAGAAGTCCAGGGGCAACTTTTAAAGTTATGGTTAAAGAAGAAATTGGAGAGAAAACTATAGAAATATTTTTCTTATCTTCAAGTGGCATAATTAAAACACACAGTAAGTAGAAGGGGAAGAATACAAATTAGATAAGTGTAGCTACATCGCAGAGAATACCCATGTATTGTGCTCTAGATCTCATCTTCTTTCTTGTCCCTCCACTCAGCACATTTTGAAGATCCACCAGTGTTGCTACATGTCCATCTAGTCCACTGCTTCTAACTGCTGCGTCGTATTCCACAGTGCTACCCTGCCCCTCTTCATCTATCCACTTCCGACAACCGGCACAATCAACAAACACTGTGCTCAATGTCTCATATATAGTGACCTTATCAACTTGCACGAGGACTTTTTAGGTAGATTCTGAGGAACATCATTGCTAGGGCATAGAGTACAAAATACTTAATTTTATTAAATACTGCCAGATTACCCTTCGAAACAGACTGAACCAGCCTGTACTCCACCAGAAATGCATGGGGGCTCCTAAACATCCGTATCTTCTCCAACACTTGGCATCATCAAGCTTTCTAATTTTTGTCAATCTCATTGTGTTTTGAAGAGCACTTCCCCATTATCATTGGATGTTATGCTTGTTAGCATTTCATTTGTTTGAATTTCCCTTTCTATAAATTGCCTGTCATTACCTTTTGCCCACAATTCTACTGGGGCTCCTTTTCCTTGTGGATTTTCCATTATTCTCTTGTTCATTGCCAATGTTTCTAATAAGCTTCTCTAATCTGCCATTGGTCAACTTTGTCCATAGTATTCTTTGTCAAAAAAGACTTTATTCTAATGTGATCAAATTGATATGATTTATACTCACCTCTCTGTCTCAAAAATATTCTCTAACATTACCTTCCCTTAATTGTAAAGTTCCACATTTCACATTTAAGTCTTTAATCCATCTGAGGCACACCTTGTGTGTTAGGTAGGGATGAAGTTTTGTTACTCCCAATAGGAGGCTGGCTTTCCTAACAGCATCAAAGACTATGTATCTGCCCTACTGACTAGCAGAGCCTCCTTGAATATATATTAAATTCCTGTAAGTGCACGAGTCTGTCTCTGAGTTCTTTATTCTGTTCCATTAGGCTATGTGTCTATTCTTGGAAATTTCAATCTTTTTATTAGAGCTACTTTGAAGATTTTCAAATATCTGGTCAGGCAAGCTCTCCCCCTTTGTTCTTCATTTTCAAACTTAGGTTAGCTATATGTAGTGGTTTTTTTCCTTCCACAAAATGTTTAAATGTTTTAAATTGTGATACAACACACAGAAGTACATGGTAGCACATGACAGAGCATACCACGTAACCACCATCCAAATAAAGAGATGAAACACTCCGAACTTCCTCTGTGACTCTTGTATTAAAAAAAAAAAAAAAAAAAAGGTGTGGAATTCACATTACATGCAATTAACCATTTTAAAGTGAACAGTTCAGAAGCGCTGTGTATCCCAGTGCTGGACAACTACCGCCTCTCTCCAGTTGGAGTATTTTTTCATCACCCCAAAAGATACCTACATGCATTAAATAGTCACCCTCTATTCCTCCTTCCCTCTTCCCCTGGCAAGCACTAATCAAATTTCTCTTTAGTGATTTGCCTATTTCGGATATTTCATATAAAAAGAATTATATAATAGGTGATTTTTCATGTCCAGCTTCTTTCACTTAGCGCAAGTTTTCAAGATCCATCTGGGCTGCAGCATCTACCAGCACTTCATTCCTTTTTATGACTGGATGATATTCCAATGCATGGATGTGCATTTTGTTTATTCATTCACTCGTTTATGGATATGTGGGTTGTTTCCACTTTTTGGCAATTGTGAGTCATGCTGCAGTGTGCGCCTCTTTTAAACCTCAACCTCTTCCCTTACTCTGTAAGTAACCACTTTTATGACTATTTTATTTCTTCCTTGCTTTTTTTAAATAATCTTTTGCCACTTAATTTGAATACCTAAACAAGTTAACTTAGCATTGGTTGTATTAAACTTTATGCAAATATAGTCACACAGTACCTAGCCTTCAGAATCTGGAATCATGCTTTGAAGATTTATCCATGTTACTATACGTAGCTGTATTTTCTTTTTATTTCTTTATTCCCTTTTCCCTGCATGAATATTTCATAATTTATTTAATGATCTGCCATTGAGAAAGAGCCCTATAATTTTTAGAATAAGTTTGAGTCCTTAAAAACATCCAACTGAAATACTAGTTGGTTGCACTTAATTTATTGACTCAATCGAGGAGAACTGACTTATTTTTCACGTCCCTAAAACTGTATTTTCGATAGCGATAGTGAAGGGAAAAAAATGAAAATAGTTGCAGTGCTATATATGGGCCTGTGGGAGAAATTCCTTGTAAACAGAATTTCATGTGAAGTTATTTAGGCAATAAATAAATACTGGAAGGGAAGCCTGACCACGGAGTGCACACAGGCCCGCTGCGGCAGAGCCTGGGATCCACCAAGGACCACCGGCGGCCCCCAGTGCAGTCACGCGAGCTGCAATGTGTCTAATTACCTGGTCGGTGCACCAGTAGTAGAGGGAGAGGATGGGCATGCCAAAGACGACTCCAGGCCAGGGGAAGTCTCCAGTGACGGGGTCTCTGTAGATATGAAAAGAATCCAGGCGGGGGAGGTAGCATTCCGGCTTGGCAGTCCAGTTTCCTTCCTGGGTTATGCTTGGTTTAGCATTTAAGTATTTATGCAGTAGCTCCTGGTATCCTCCCACTTCCTTAAAGGCTTAAAAACATCACAAAATTTATCAGTACCTTAAATTATACAATAACACTCATCTAAAGAATCAAGATTGCAAAGACTCAGATTTAGGAACTATATCTAATCTATAAAGTGCAATGGACTGACAAATAGTCAAGACTGCATGCACCTATGAAAAGACACCATCTTTTTCAAAGAGAAAGAAGGGCAGAGAGGACATTTGTGGCTGTGTGCCCAGAATCCCCTGCTCCTGCATCTGGCAGCAAAAGCCCTCCTTCCAGCTGCATTTCATGTTCTGTGGCTCTAGGGGGGCCTTGTCAAACTGTCAACCACTCCAATCTGGCGTGTGACCCAGGCCTGACCAATGTTTCCTGTGCCCTGAGCAAGGCCTGATGGAATGGATTTGAAACCCCAGCTCAGCAAACCAGAATTTGCCTGGGTGCCAGTTACCAGAGTGTTACTGGGTGCAAAGTTTGCAGAGTGTGTTCGCTCTGCAAACTTTGATATAGTGACACACTTTGACTTGCGCACTTTTCAATAAAAAGTTTATTACAAATATAAAAACAAAAAAAGATGACCTCTGTTCACTGATACAGAAATTTGCCTATGATATAGTACCTGTGGTGGAAAAACAGGCACAAAATTTTGTTTTGATTCCATTAAAATGTGTATCTCAATGATTACAAAATGTTTAGATATATGAGGAATATCTCTGGGAACAGAGACACAAAACTTACAGTACCAGCTGTCTGGAGAGTCAAACTGAGAAACTGAGGGCAATGAGTATTTCAATGTGTACTCTTTCATTTTGTTTAGCTTGTGTATATATATTAACTGAAAATAAAAAAATAAAATTGTGCATGGGTTCCCATGGTAACTCGTTTGAAGGACAATATTTGTTTGCATGTGCAAGTTCTTGTATCTTTTTAAAAGAAAAGTTATTCCATTACAATAGTTTACTTATCAAAAGAACATGAATATCTCAATTAAAAAATCCCATTACATTTCTCAGAAAATGTCTTAGCTTGTTCAGATTGCTGTGATAAAATACCATAGATCAGGCGGCTTACAAGAAACAAATATTTACTTCCTGCAGTTCTGGGGGCGAGAAAGTCCAAGACCAAAGTGCTGGCCGCTGGCTGCCTGGTGAGGGTCCGCTTCCTGGTTTACATATGGCCTTCTTTCCCCCATGTCCTCATATGGCGGAAGGGGAGAAGGAGCTCTCCGGGATTTCTTCTATAATGGCATTAATGCCATTAGTGAGGGCAGAGCCTCCCAAAGGCCCCACCTTTTAATAGCATTACATTGGGAGTTAAGATTTCAATATATAAATTTTGGAGGGACCAGTAAAGAAAATATAATCATTTAGAAATGTAGTTGCTAACATTAAATGGAATATCCCACCTGCTTCTAAAGTTTAACTGGACATCATTTTCAACTATTGGGGTGCCCTTGGCAGGTTTAAAAAATGTTCATGTTGCCCTGGCTAGTGGGGCTCAGCTGGTTGGAGTGGGGCTCAGCTGGTCGTGTTTGAGTCCTGGTCAGGGAACATGCCTAGACTGCAAGGCTTGGTTCCTGGTCAGGGTGTATATGGGAGGCAACTGACTGATGTTTCTCTCCCTCTCCCTCCCTCCCCCTCTCTCTAAAATCAGTAAGCATGTCCTCAGGTAAGGATAAAAAAAAAAGTGTTGATGTTTAACACTAGCTCACAATTAATCACAATGGCTGTGTGTTTTAGTTTATAGTTTTGTCGCTCAAATTAGCCGTTGCTTCTCAGCTCATTAAAGAATTCCTCGGATCACACTTGACTTGTATTTTGTTTCCCAGCAACACCGTATTAAGTATACTTCAGGGCACACTAATGCTTACTGAATAGTAAAACTAAGGACTGTAGATTTTGTTTGATTCTATCTGTTCTCACTCCATGGGGCTGTAATCCTTCCATTGTACTCGCATATCATGATCTATGAGACTGTAATCCTTCAATTGTACTCACATATCACTTCAATGTTTTTCCAATAGCTGGGGGAAGAACTTCTCCTTCTAGGTTTCTGTAAGACTGATCCCTTACCCACAGAGCAGTTGGTGACACCCACCTCCCCGAGGTCATACTCCTGTCCTTGCTGGTGGAAGGAAACTTCCATTTGCAGAAAAGTGTACTTGCCATTAGAGGTGCTGTAATGTGTAAATTCATGAATTGGGCGGCGGTGGTAGAGCCAGCTCTGAGCTCTGCTCTTGGTGAGTCTGGCAAGCAAGTTGCTTAACTGAGACTCAGTTTCCTCATGTGTAAGATGGGGCTAACAACAGTAGCTATGCCTCATGGTGATTGTGAAGGTTAAAGGGGTAGTACAGATAAATGCCTATATGGTACCCGATACTCAATTCATATCAGCTATTATTTTCATTCTTATTACTTAATAATTTGTTGGATTCTTACCTTGCCCTTTTATTTCCCAATTTCCCTTTATGTCCCCTCCCCCTTTTATTGGATGACTGAATAACCTACTATGTGCCTCAGATTGCACTGTATGAGGGATACAATGGCTCTGATTTTTAAGAAGTTCTGAACCTGGGAAGTATGATTTACTCATGTGACAATCAATGAACCATCAAAGCGTGTAAAAAAGATGCTAAGTGGTGTGGCAGCGACCCAAGTCCGGGGGAGAAAGACATGCAGGTGGAATAATCACAGAAGCACCCCTCTGGGGGGAGGGCCTTCCACTGACATTGACAAGCAGGCTTGACCGAGTGCATGAACAGGAGAGGGCTTCTAACTGGGGAGGAAGAGCGTGGACAGGGCTGGGGGTGAGAGCGGTGGACCGCTCTTGACTGCTGTTCCAAAGCACGAGAGTTTGTCATTGTTCCTCTGATCCCTTGACTCCTTTCTTCTCCTGTACGCAGGAGTTTCCTCCCCAGTTCTCAGCATGACCTTAAATAATGCTCTTGGGTTCTGAGGGCCTCAGTCTCCTCATCTGCAAGACGAAGGTGCTGCATTGTCTCCAGGGAGCAATCAGGTTCAAAGACACCATCCACAGCACCTAGTCTTCTCAAGATTTACTTACCGAAGCCCATTAGCAAGACTGATCCCAGAATCATAACGCCGGCATGTAAGGTATCAGTATAAACCACAGCTGCAAAACCACCTGAAGAGGCAGGAGGAAGAGGAAGGAAAGCACGCTTGAGTCTTTCTGCGGAAAGTTGCTTTGACATCCTGTTCTACACACTTGTCTCCTCCAGCTCTCCACATTTACACCTTTGGTCCCTTCAGTTGAGTGGGTCTGACAACTACATATGCTTGGTCTTGGTGTACTGTTTTCTCTCTTTAGTCTCATTCATTATCTTTTGCCGGATTCTTTTTTCTTTTTGGAGGGGGGGCGATCAAACCAGCCACCTTTTGGTTCACAAGCCAGCGCTCAATCCACTGAGCCACACCAGCCAGGGCTTTTGCTGGATTCTTATCTTGCCCTTCTATGCCTCAATTTCTCTTTAACTCTCATTTTTTAAATGAATCAAAATCTGATAATTTTCCGAAGGGGAAAAAAACCCTGTTAGATTTTTTACATTCTCAACTTGGAAACAACAGCCCGTCCCTAGCCTCTGTCTGCTAGATGCCAGTAGCATTTTCCAGTTGTGACAACCAAAAGTGTCTGTGGATATTACCAAACGTCCTCTGGGAAGAAAAGCTCAACCCCCACTGTCTAGGACAGAACTGCCTATGGTCTGACCAGGTTAGCAGGTGAGCAGATGGCCTGAGGTGGCTGCCTCCCCCTCGTTCCCTTGCTGTGGTCCCATTCTTTTTTTTTTTTAAGATTATATTTATTTATTTTTAGAGAGAGGAGAAGGGAGGGAGAAAGAGGGAGAGAAACATCAACGTGTGAGAGATATATCGATCGTTTCCCTCTCATACTCCCCTAGCTGGGGACCTAGCCCGCAACCCAGGCATGTGCCCTGACTGGGAATTGAACCAGCAACCTTTTGGTTTGTAGTCCAACATTCAATCCACTGAGCCATGCCAGCCAGGGCTGTGGCTCCCCCACCCCTTTTTTTTTTAACCAGGCAGCCTGCTGTACCTAGTCCAACACCACCTAAAACACAACTCTGACCCCGCCAGTCAGAAAACCCCCACCAGCCCAAACTGACTTCTAGGGGTAGGACTCCACTTTGGCACTCCTGCCTTGATTATTTTTACTATTTGCGCCCCTCCCCACCAGGCCTCAGCACTGTGCTCTGTAGACTTAAGGAAAACGTAAAAGTCGAAGACCCCTGCCTCAGTGTCTACCAGGACTCTGGCAGGAGGCAGAGCTTTTGGTTAATATAAATACTTGCATGGTTCGAGTAGCCTCACCTGTTACGGTATAAATACCAGTAATTGTCAGCAGCGCTATGGTGATCACGTAAACATCCAGCCCGAGAACGAGCCTCATGAACAAGGCGCCCGTGCAGATCTCCATCTGAAATGAGCATAAGGCAATGGGCTGCCCTTCCACCACCAGTTCCGTCAACAGTGGCCCCGTAAAGACACTGACCTCAGAAGCACCTGCAGCTGGCACATGCGCTACATCACTAGTGGGCACTTGGTGAGGGTCACCCAAGTTCCACTGGGCAAACAAGGCTCGTACTCCATGAGTTCAGCCAAGGTCAGCACCTTTAGGGCTTGGGTTAACCCAATTAATCCGTAGTAAACCCAATTGACTACCACTGAGCCTCCTCCTCCCTGGAGTGTCAGAGTGGGCAGGGAGCTCTTCCTGTGGCTCGGCACTGGGGAGGGTGAAGGGAACAGCTCACTAGGAGCTGGCCGGCTCTTTCTGCACAGGACCAGATGGTAAATGCCGTAGGCTCTGCAGGCCACATACTGCCTCTGTTTTTTACAACGCTTTAGCTCTGTAAAAACCATTCTTAGCTTAAGGACTGCACAAAGCAGACCACTAGGAGGACTGGCCTATGGGCTGGGTTTCCCGGTCGCTGGCTTAGATGACAGTGATTCTGAAGCACCTGCACATGATTTAACCGGCTAACTTCTTGCTTTGTTATTCTAGTCCACAAAGCCAGAAATACAATGAGCAGAGGCTCTCCCGGCATGCACCTATCCACTTATTTACCAAAGGTTTACTGCGCACCAACACTCTATTAGGTATGTAGCAGGATTCTGAAGACACAGGGTTACCAAAAGTCAGTCACTATCTTCAAGTAGCTTTCACTTAGTGACACAGACAGACCACTGAAGAGGCAATTTTCACATAATGTGTAAGTGGCACTCATTCAATCATTCAAGAAACATTTATTGAGTGCCTTATGTGCTGAACATGTTCTCAGCACAGGGGGGCAGGGGCGTAATGCAGTGAATAAGCCAGGCAAGGCCCTGGGCCTCAGGAGGTTGGTGTTGGAGTGGAGAAGACAGATAAAAAGCAAGGAAACAAATAAATTCCTATCATACGGTGACAAGTACTACAAAGAAAATAAAAACAGAGTAATGGAGCAGAGACTGACTGACATATCCATAGAAAGCCTTTCTGTGGAGCTACCTGGAAAACATGGGGGAAGGGTATTCCAGACACAGTACAGAGCAGGTGTCAAGGACTTCAAGTGGGAATAAGGTTGTTGGATTTGAGAAACAATAAGGCAGCCAGTGTGGCTACAGCCTGGAGACTATAGGGGTGGGGACAAGGCCAGAGGGACAGCGGCTAGTATAAGATGGCCCTTACCAGTCATAACAAGGGGTTTAGGTTTGCTTGTAAGTAAGGGTGGTGGAAACTCCTGGATTGTTTTAAGCAAGGGAGTAACATTACCTAATGATATGACACAGGTAAGCCCAAGGTTCTCCGGGAATACATAGGAGGGTCCTATAACCCAGGCTTGGGGGGCAAAGAAGATGCCTCTGCCTTTTAGTTTTTGCAAACTACCATGAAGCTACTCTTTCTCTGCTCTGGCTGTAACAGCAGAGGCCAGTAAGTAGCTTATGGAGTCCCAGAGTGAACTGCTGGGACAAATGTAGCACAGTCCTGTCTATTGATTTTTGTTTGTTTTCTTTCTTGGACTGGCTTTTACACAACTTACTGAGATCTTATGGAACATATAGAGGAGTAAGTACAGAATAGCAAGGAGCAACTGGATCCGGCAGCCACCAAACCTCTTCCTCAAATATTCTGGCGTTGTCACCACCTGTACGAGCAACAAGAGAAGTCACTGTCAGAGTGCTAGAAGAGGCAGGCCACAAGGATGGGCCTTGCTCACCACGTGCTGGTTGTCACGGAAGCGGCTGATGGTGGCAGTGGCCCAGGAAGGCAAGATGCAGGGTCATCGACTCTGGCTTTGTATTACACGGTACCTGTGTTGTGAAGGTGAGAGAAACAAGAAAGGAAAGGCAATACTGCTGTCTTCAAGAAGCTGGGGCTTCTACTGCAATCTGTAGAAAGAATGAAATCCAGCTAACTGAAAATGTTTAGTGATGACAAATCACTTTTACAAAAAAATCACAAAACAAAATTAAACACTCTATCACACACTACAAGTATAGCAAGTGCTGAAGAGAGACGGAACTTGACTCTGTGTCAGCCATGCTTGTGTGTGCTGGTGCCCCGAATAATCCTGCTCCCTTCTACTTCCATCCTCTCAGGCTGTGTATACCTGGATGGCAGGGAGTGCGCCCTCTTTGTTCGTTAGATTCCTAGACCCGAGTTCATTAGATTCCTGGTCGGTGAATACATAATTGCTAAATGAATACTGCCCCACCTTCTGTCCCGAATATTCTCAGGTGCTCTAGCCCACCTACTTCACACCCGTCTAATGCAAATTCCATCTGTTTTGTGAAGACTTACCAGGGGGCTTAACAGGGACTGTATCTCCTAAATCCCCTTTACATTCACATTACAAGACTTATCCCCTAATGTAATGTGCTATTTCTTATTGCTTTCAAAATTGATCTTTCCTATTAGCAATTTGGCTATGATGTAAACCTAGGTATAGTTTTGCGTTTATTCTATTTGATGTTTGTTAAGCTTTTTGTGTCTGTAAATTAACATTTTCCACCAAACTTGAGATATTTTCAGTTATTATTTTTTCAAAAAAAATTTTCTGTCTCTTCCTTTCACGCCTCTATCTGGGACTCCAATTAGATGTATGTTGGACCGCCTGATAGTGTATCACAGGTCTCTGAGATTTTGTTCCTTTTCTTCAGTTTTTTTCCCATCTGTTTTTTATCCTGGGTAATTCTTATCTTCAAGCTCACTTATTCACTGATTCTCATCTCAATTGTGCTATTGAGTCCTCGAAGTGGATTTTTCATTTTAGCTACTGTGCTTTTAAACTCTAGAATTTCCATTTTGGTTCTTTTCTATATTTTTATTTTCTCTGTTGAGAGATCCTATTCACTTATTAATATCACATTTTCTTTTACAATTTAGAACATATTTGTAATAGCAGCTTTACAGTCTTTGTTAAATCAACATCTGGGCCTGCTCAGAGTCAGTTTCTAATTCACTGTTATTTTTCTCCCTGAGCATGAGTCACATTTATTTTCTCATTTCTTTTTATGTCTAATAATTCTTTGTTAAGGCTGGCCATCATAGATACTACGAAGTAGCACTCTAGAATCTTTTTTGTTCTGGGATTGCTTTTTCTGGTTTTAGTAGGCGATTAACTTAACCTGGACTCAAACTGCAGCATCTTCCATGCCTGCCCCCCCGACTCCCCCTGCAGTGTGGCATGAAAGATGTTTCAGTTTGAGTCCAGGTTAAATTAATTACCTCAGAAGCTGATGTGTTTGCTTGTTTTTTCAGTTTTTAGGCACTGATAATTTAGTCAGGTCCTTTGAAGGTTTTCCCTGAATTTGAGGAGTCTGGCAGTTGGTCATGGATTTGGGCAGAATTTATACTCAGTTTGGGGGATTAACTCTCTCTTGGTTTTCTTGTTTTGAAGCTTCCCACCTATTTCCTGTTGTTATGCTCACCCTCAGTTCTCTCCTCTGATACCTCAAACCAGTAACCCTTCTGCTTCCCACTGCCTGCACTGTGTGGGCTGGGAAATATACTTACTCATAGGCACAGTAAACTCACAAATTTCACCAGTTCTGTCTTTGCAGCACAGACATCTCTCTAGTTTGACTTTGTTTTTTTCCAGCTGGTCAGCCGGGAATTTGGGATTTTTGTATCTTATTTTATAATCCTCTATCTCAAGGCCATGCAAATAGTCTGTACTTTCTTGTAAAAATTAGAAAATTTGCAATTCCTACTTAAGTCTTTAATCAATCTAAAATTATTTTTGTGTAGAATAGGGATCCAATTTTATTGTTTTCATATGATAATCAAGTGACCTTCCTTTCCTCACTGGTCCGTTATGCCATCGATGTCAGAAGGTGCCCCTGTATGAATGTGTCTGGGCTTTTTCTCTGCTTCACTTGTCAGTGTGTTGGTCCTTGTGTCAACAGTAAGCCCTTATATGAAGTAGGACAAGTCTTTCTTATTTTTCTTTGATAGGACTATCTTTACTATTCATATACTTCTGCTTTTCTACATATTTTATTCATTTTCCCCCCCAGTTTTATTGAGATATGCTATATAACATCAAATAAGTTTAAGGTGTACAATATTTTATACACGTATATATTGTGAAATGATTACCACACTAAGGTTAGTTAACATCTCCATCATCTCACATAATTACCATTTCTTTTGTGGTGAGAACATTTAAAATCTATTCACTAAGCAACTTTTAAGTATATATTATAGTATTGTTAACTATACTTACCATGCTATTTTAAAAAATCTATTCAGCCCCTACCGTTTGCCTTTTGATGGGGGAATTTACTTCATCTATAGGTAAGGACTTAATAATGCCATTTTATTCATTGTTTTATGGCTGTTTTGCAGTTCCTTAGTTACTTTCTTCCTCTGTGAAAGGATGGTCTTCTATAGTGGTATGCTTTCATTACCTCCTCTTCATCTTCTGTGTATCTGCTACAGGTTTTTGCTATTGTGGTTACCATGAGGCTTACATAAAACATCTCATAGCTGTAACAGACTATTTTAAGCCGATATCTTTGATTGATAAAAAAACTCCACCCTCTTACTTCCCACCCCGATACTTTGATGTCATAATTTACCTTTTTTTATATTATGTATCCATTATATAGTTATTTTAATAGTTTTATCATTTAACGTTCATACTAGACTTAAGTTGATTAACATACCAGTATAGGTTCTGAATTTGACTATATCCTCACTTTCACCAGCGTGGTTGTGTATTTTCATGCTAACTAATTAGCATCCTTTCTTCTAAGCTTGAAGAACTCCTTTAAGCATTGCTCGGAAGGCAGCTCTAGTGGTATTAACTCCTTCAGTCTTTGTTTCGGTATTTTGCTCTCATTTCTGAGGGCAATCATTTTTGCATTTCTAAAGTATTCCTGTTTGGCAGTTTTTCCCTTTCATCATGTTCACACTATCACCCCCACCTCCGGCCCTGTGTGGATTCTGCTGAGACACCCACCGAACAGCCTTATGGGGGTCACCCTGTAAGGGAAGACATTTTTCCTCTTGCTGCTTTTAAAGTTTTTCTCTTGTATTTGATTTTAGGCAGTTTTATTATGATGGGTCTTGGAGAAGATAATTTTTTGTTGAAATTCTGGGGAGACTCTATGACCTTCATGATTTTGGATATCCAAATCTCTCCCCAGATTAGCTAAATTCCCGGCCATTATTTATTTACATAAGCTTTCTGCCTCATCCCCCTCTCCTCTTCTGTCGTAGTCCAATACTGTGCAGATTATGTCTCTTAATAGTATCCCATGGTTTATGCAGGCTTTCTTCACTCTTTTTTCTTTGTTCTTCTCTGACTGGATAATTTCAACTGATCTGTCTTCTACTTCACAGAGTCTTTTCCTGTTCCATCCAGTCTGATGTTGCTGCTCTCTATTGCATTTTTCATTTCATTCATGGCATTCTACAGCCCCAGAATTTCTGTTTGGTTATTTTTATGACTTCTCTCTGTTAAACTTTTCATTTTCTTTGAGTACGGTTTCTCTTACTCTGTTGAATTGTCTTTCTGTGTTCTCTTGTAGCTACTGTGCTCCCTTCAAACAACTATTTTGAATTCTTTATCAGGCAAATCCCAGATCTCCATTTTTGGGGGTTGGTTACTGGAAAATTATTGTATTTCTTGGGTGGTGTGACATTTCCTTGTTTTTTTCATATTTCTTGACATCTTGCATTGCTGTCTCTGCATTTGAAAAAGCAGTCACCTCCTCCAGCTTTCACTGACTGGCTTTTGGAGAGGAATACCTTCTGTCAACTCTGCTAGGGATTCTGAGGCTTTCTGAGACCCTTTCTATGAATAATAGAAAGGCTCTGCACTTCTTGTTGCCTCATATGTAGAATTCCAAAAATGATACATCTTCTCTTGACTCTGCAAAGCCAGGCTGAGTGCTGCCAGCCTCCTGTTTGCTTGTTTTCCCTAGTTTGATGCTGAATGTTCAAGCTTGTGTGCTTTCTCCCAATCCAGAGTCAGGCTGGCTTTCTGCACATGCTCACTAGCTTCCTGCAAAGACTCCCTCTTGCCACTTTCAGTGGTGCTCAATGGGACCTGGCCACAGGGTAGAAGTATATGTAGGTGAGATGTGCAGACTGTTGGAGTATCTATAGACCAATTGGGGGATTCTGCAGATACGAAGTCCCCAACAGGTGACTGGCAGGTTTCCTGTTAGTCTGCAGAGCAATTAGGATCCATGTCCCTTGGATGCCATTTGAGAGCCCCGATGGCTATTATCTCAGCCACTTCCTGAGTCCTAGTGATGCAGCACACCCCAGCGAATGAGATGAGCAAGCAGCAGGCCTTTCTGGCAGCAGCCTGCACAGCTGGAGTAGCCAGGCTCTTATTCACATGCTCTCAGAAGGAGAAGACTCAGGCTGAGAAGTTCTCTCTTGGTACTTAGCTGTGCCACCTCGGAGAGAGATGACACAGACACAGTGAATTATCCCTCTTACCCTCTTTAATGTGTCCAAAGTTCTTTATCTTAACCCAGCAGTGTGCTAGAAATTCCCCACCAGACTCATGGACTTCCATAAAGCCCTCCTGCCTGTGGATGATTGTCTAAATTGGTATTCTTTGGGGGAAGATGGTAGAAAACTCTTATTTTGCTTCTTCATGACATCACTGCACATGTCCCTGTGGATGTGCAGCCTAGACGGTCTCTTTGTTCTGCCCGCTCATCAGGGCAAGTCTTTGTCCCCTTAGAATTAGATCGTCAGATACTAAAAATTCCTGTTTGGATTTTGTTTGGAATTGCATTCCATGCACAGACCAATTTGGGGAGAACTAACATTTTTACTCTATTGTCTTGCAATCATTAACACAATTGTTCTCTTCATTTATTTAGGTCTTTTTTTTTTTTTTTGTAGGTAAAGTTTTAAAATGTTTTCTATACAAGCGTTAAGAGGTAACTCGTGAGTAAGGTCCGCAGTGAAAGAGCAGGCAGTTACCGGCATCTGTTTACCCAGCAGAACACTGGTATTGCAGACATTTCTCAGGATTTAGGGAAGTCAGTCCAGGGATCAAGAGGCTGAGAAGTTGAACTTATCTTCCACGATGTTTGTATGTACAAATGCAATATTTGTAAGAAAAAGTATTGTAGAAAATTGAGTAACTGCTAGTAGACACTCACCCCAGCTTTAATGTAAATTGGAGAAAATATCCAACCAAGAACACAGAGCAGAAATGGAGCCTGAAATCATAAAGAAAAACATCAGGGTCCCACAAATGCCAAGCTCTTCAATGAGCTGCAAGCTCACATATTATCGTTTTGAGTCTAACTAATAAGGTATCACTACTGGGACCTTACGATAACAGCGCCAGTGTAAACCTTTCCATCCGATAAATTTAACTTATAGGCACTTGATCTTTTCCTATAAAAGGGTGCATTCTTAATGATGGGGGGTTCGTGGAGCCAAATTTCAAGGTATTTATTATTAATTTATTGTTTGCCTACTTCCAGATAGGAATGAAGGTGACTTATACTTAAATACAAAAGTTGAAAAAGAAAAAAAATCAGAAATCATTCAGAGAACAGGGAGAGAAACTATACCAAAGTTTCATACAAGTTATTGAAATTAAGTAAACAATCAGGTCTGGCTTTCTCTACAAAGAAGGGGTAAGGTGAACTGAATATATGAAGGAGATGCTAGTAAATTCTGAGAGGAAATGGCTGTAAAGTCCAGGGTGTCTTACTGGGTTTGGAACGGACTTTGCTACAAGTATTCCCTGTTTTTGTAGCATATAAGAAGAAAGATGTGACTCAGAAAACAGGGAGCTTTCTGGCTTATCCAAAAGAAGTCAGATGATTTATATAAAGATGGGTTAATTAACATAAGATTTATAAGTACACTTACAATTTGGGTGAACATTTCTATGTCCTACAACAAATGTATCCCACAGGTCAAATAAATAATCCACTTTATAAGTTTTATAGTTAAAACCTGGTATTCTTAGAACATTAATTAGGAGTTTTGTAGTAACTAGTCGAACATCTCAAAGAGCTCAGCTGAGCCCATTCTCAACATATACAGCAAATATATACATACAGATATATCTACACATGCCTATACATACACCTACATATATACATCAGATATACAAGGTCTGGCACATATAATGACCCTTTTTTAGTACAAAATCTTTTATTATGAAATCATAAGCATGTAATTCTGTAACAAACAATATCACACTCAAGCATACCGTATGACATTATAGGTGAAATGTTCAAATTAAAACTATAAATTATCACACCCATATTATTACCTTACCAATCACACTCAAGCAGGTATTACTTTTGCCAGACATATTTCTTTTTTAGCTGTCTTTTATACTTATTTATGTGTGTACATATACACACATAAATGTATATGTATTTAAATATTTATATGATCTTTTCTCTACATGACTAGTCTCCTAAATTAGTTTTGTTTAGTGTATTCCACAGTCCCTGGAATATAAAGATTCTCTGTCTCTTCATTAATTTACTAAGAAGATGAGAAACTAGCACAATTTTTTGGAGAAACTAAAGTCTTGGTTCCTTTCTTCCATGACTTCTCTTTAATGTTCACTCAAGGTTGGAAGCAAGTTTTTATGTTTCTGAGTGTTACTCGGGCAATGATAAAGGTGGAGGTTAGTTGCTACAAAATGCATCACTTACGTTCCACTCGAAGGCCCCAACAGCAATCCCTGAAGTTGCTCCTGATCCAGCCAGGCCCATAAAGTGGGAGGTGCCAATGTTTGAGGCAAAAAGAGAAGCGCCTGTCTGACAACCAAAAGACAATTCCGTATCAGGACTTTGAGGCCAAGTCCAAGAATTAATTTCACAAATGTAAACTCAAACTGAATTTTACAATTTTTCAAAAGGGATTATTCCCTGGCCATGATTCCCATTTGTGTTTCTTCTATACAAACTCTAACCATGAATTGGAAGCCCAGTGAAGAGGGAGAAAGTGAAAAAGGCAGAATAGCTGTTTTTATGTTGCCATCTTCCGCATGCTCCACTGACTTACTTGTTATTTCCTAATGCAGAAATATTAGTAGTGTAATTCCATCACTGTTTGGAAATAATTTGAAAATATTAACAATCTAACTGATTATCTATAAGGGACTGGTTAAAATACATGAAAACAATGAAATACAAGGTCGCATGAAGAATAAAGGAGTTCTACTAAGTAATAAAAATAATGGTATTAAGTAATAAAAATAAAAACAGCATTTTATAATATAATCTCATTAAAAATTTATGTCTGTACATTACACTTGTGCACATAAATGTTCATATATGCATGGGACAAATTCTGGAGATATATACGTGTATGTGTGTGTGTGTGTGTGTGTGTGTGTATATGACAAAGTATTTCTGGGGACTGAAATTATGGGTATAGAGATGGAATTGGGAGAAAATTTTGAGGTCTGCACTTGGGCCATAACTTTTAATTTTTTTTACAGCCTACATCTGTTACTTTCAAAATAAAAAATCCCAGAGGCATTTAAAATGAACAAAATCCCTTCTGAACCAATAAAAGCTTTTTAACTAAGTAGAGACAGCCACTCCACTAAAACAAAAATCCAATGTTATGCTGTTGACGTGAGATACATTTAAAGCCAAATTATCAGGAGAGGCTTAAATATCAAAGCCTTTTAGGTACAAACAAACAAAAACAGCACTGACAATATTAATATAAGATAAAATATCATTTAATACCAAAAGCATTAAACAAGAGGCTTTGTTGTTATAACTATGAAAGGTAAAATGCACTAGGAAGACATAGTTGAGAATGTACAGGCACCAAACATCTGAGCAGCAACATATATAAGGTAAAAAAGTCTTAGAAGAAGCATATAATAAGTACTAAAGTAATGGTAGTTATTTTTACCATTAGGTATGTTCACTACATTTATCATAATACTGTAAAATTATAACAGCCTAAATTGCCCAATTATATGGTAAATAAAAAGTTAGATGTTCATATGATGTAATACTATGCAACTGCATATAAATATGGGGGGGGCAAAAGTAGGTTCACAGTTGTTCATATGAAAAACAATATTGGGTTGGCCAATAAGTCCACTTATTTTTTCCATAAAATAAAAGACGCATTTTCATTTTCAGCAATAACTTTATTGACTTGGATATTTGGAGTATGTTGGCTGTCTCTCTCTATTGGCTTCTAGGGCGCAGAGGCCAGGGGTGCTGCTAAACATCTTCCAATGCATAAGACAGCCCCACAGCAAAGAATTACTTGGCCAAGATGTCAATAGTACCAAGAAAATTTGCAAACCACTTTGGACATATTCGATCAGTCACAGCACCTCCTCCATACACTACACAAATCTTTTTTTCTTTTTTGCATGTCAGTTGCATTTTTACCTTTTTTGAAATAATAAAGCATAATATGCCAAAAATGTTGTGTATCTTCTTCCATCTTCAATATTAAAATGGCTGCACAAAAATTCACCAGTTTTTGATAAGTTTTTAAAAAATACACACTGATATGACAGCTGTCACAGTACAGTCTAACAGAATTGTTTCGAAGGAAGTTGAAGTTAACTAAGCACTACGAGAGCCATCGTATGGAAAAAACTCAACAAACTTTTTGGTCAAACCAATACGATAATTAACAAAGAATAATACGTGAATAAACTCTGTTTCATGTACTCACAACTGTAAACCTGTTTTTGCCCCACTCTGTATAAAATATCTATACCCACCTACCTATGCGCCAGGCAGTGTCCTGGGGATACATTAGTGAGTGAAATAGATAAAAATCCTTGCCCTCATGACAATAACATTCTTTTGGGAAAAAGAGAATAAATGAAATAAATTAAAGGGTTATTTTCTAATAAAATAAAATAATAAAAAGGAAGGTGGGAAAATGAACAGGGAGTGCTGAGCACCGGCGCGGTCGGGGACCGTCTGAACGGAGATCTGAGGAACGCCAGGTGAGGGAGCAAGCCATGCACTATCAGCGGGAAGCCTCCAGGTGGACGAAGCTGCAGGGCAAAGGCCCTGGGGCAGAAGCACAGCTGATTGTTCAAGGACATTGGCTAGAACTGAGGGCAGGAGTCCTGAGGGGCAAGGGAAGAGAGGTAAGGAGGTGCAGACCATCTGTGGCCTAACGCTGGCCATTATAAGCAGCTGGGTTTTTTCATTCTGGGTGACAGAGGGTTTTAAGCATGAAAGTGACATGGTCTGACTCAAGTTTTAGCTGGCTCCCTGCTTTGTTGAGACTAGATACAAAAGAGCAGAGGTAGAAGGAGGGGCCCAGGAAAGAGGCTGCTACAATTAATCCAGGGCAGGGACACGGCAGCACAGACCTGGGCGCAGAGCTGATGAGAAGTGGTCAGATTTCAAATACATTTTTTTTCCTTGAAGGATTGGATGTTGGGTGTGAGAGAGAATAAAGAGTCTAATATGGCTCCATGTTTGCCAAGCTGTGCCCTAGAAGGGATGGAGTGCTACTCAGGAGACCGGAAGGACGGTGGGAGAAGCAGATCTGTAGAGGCAAGTCCAGGGTTCCCTTTGGATTTGTTTGGTCTGAGATACTGGAGAGGCCTCTCAAATGCAGATGCCACACAGCAGCGGGGCACACAGTCTGGGGTGCAAGGGAGGAATCTGGGATGCGGTAGCATGTAACTGGTATTTAATGCCATAAGGCTAGAGGGGGTTGCCACGTGTGTGGGTGTGACTGTAGGGGAGGGGTCAGGTGCTGGCCCTGGGGAACTCCGGCCTTAGGAGGCCAAGGAGATGGGAGAGAATCTGCCAGGGAGACGGAGCACGAGTGGCTGGTGAGGCCGCGGGAAAGGAGGGGAGCCAGGAGGTGAAATGGGGAGGGAGGGAGGACTGAGAGTTCCAGAGACTCTCCACTGCCAGGCCAGGTAAAACTGAGAACTGACAAGGATAAGCCATGTACAATTTAAAAAGGAAGGAAAAGAGAATAAGCCACGTGGAAGACCCCGAAGAGAGCAACTGATGTCCATCAAACATCTGCTGATTGAGTAAAAATATAAAAGAAAAGAGGAATTTGGAAGAGCAGAATTATCCTTTTATTTCAATTTCCTTTAATAATACCAAAATATATTTTATTCATTAAGCAAGAATCTTAATAATGAGAAAAGAAGTCACAGTAAAGAAATTAATGTCATAACATAGAGTATAGACATGGGGAGGCCGAAGTATGTTGGTGTTGTTTGAAAGCCATTACAAGCGTCACAGTCATAGAAGGTAACGCGGCAGCAGATGGCCGTTCTTCTGGGTACAGAACATAGCACTTCAAAGCCTAGGAGTGGCTCAGGCAATAGACTGGGGGCCTCACAGCCCAGGCAGAGATCATGTTGCTGGAATTCTCTGCTGGAAAATAAACTAAGGTAGGAGGCCCACTGCAAGCATTTCTTTGCCACATTCAATTTCTTTCTAAATCAGGTTTAGAGAAAAAAGAAGATTCAAAAATAATTCAGGGAGATGCACCTCTGCATTACCTACTCCAACTCCAAACACTGTTCATATAACCTCACCTCTATAAGACCTTGCCACCTTGCACTGTGCACTAGCTCTACCCAGGAAGCCGGAGTTTACCCTGCATCCGTAGCTGGCCCCTGCACCTCCTGTGAGACCTACTGTACCGCAATGTACTGTAATTCATTGAAGGCACTTCTAATTCCCACTCTAGATTGTGTGATTCCAGAGTGCACTACCATTTCCTTGTACATGCTGGTTTTATTGGGACATGAAAACGTCCCTAACATGGTGAAGAAAACAGACATGCAAGTCCAGGAGGTACAGAGGGTCCCAAACATGTTTCAGTAACCAAATAAATGGCTATTGAACTAAACCAAGTTAAATGGAAATATTTAGGTAACGAACTAGTTAAGAGTTAAAGGAACTACCAATGAGATGACTTTCCTGATTTAAAAACTTTAAATTATTTTGAGTATGAGACACCTAAATTAAAGTAATAAACAAGTTAACATGTAGCCTGCAAAGTGGATGGCCACACTCACCAGCCACCATGATAGATTTCGGCCAGCCAGGAAGAAGTCTTCTACAGTTCCACGGCTGCTTGATAGCATAGCCTTAAAGAAACAAAAGAAAACAAACAAACAAAAAACAACAATGAAGTAAAAGAAACAAAGTGCCACGAAGACATAGGTCTCTTATGGGCTCCCAAATCCTTTCTCCCTTTCAGAAAGAATAGAAGGCCATACACCCTGAGCTAGAGGAGGGCTCGCAGCTGCCTGGCTGGGGACTACAGTCTCTTCCAGCTCTGACATTGCATGGGAATGTCCCTCTACATTCTTGTGAAAATAATATTGCTTTATTTTTCCCAAGTAGTTAACTAGTGCCATGGTTTCCGGCAGAGTCTCGGAGATAAGTGGTTTAGTGAAGGCATGGATCGATCAGGAACGGAAAGTCTGAACATGTGCCTGGCTTCCTCCAGGAGAAGAGTCACGTCCCATTACTATGGTGTCTTTCAAATGGTGTTCTTTCTACTCAGGGTCCCCAGCTCTGATCCTCAGGCCCTGGTGTAGTCGAAAGGCAATACTGGGTGGGGGTTTCCTGGATTGCCCAGGACTAGCACAACCTGAGGATCACAGCTGATTGATGGAAATGTTTTTCTGTGGGAAGAGTGAACTTATTATATTATCACCATCTGAGATTTCTGCATTATAATGGGGTCCCCTCCCATCTCAAAGCCTTAAAGCCAAGAAACAACTCTCCATCAGACACATTAAGTTAGTCTCCCTTCTACCATTCAATAAATATTTAGCAAGGGCCTACTATGTGCAGATCTGACCTTTTCTAAAGAAGGTGTCAGTGGTATGTAGGTAGAGGTGCATTAAAACTCTTATAAGAAATTTACAAACTATTCTAAGATGAATAAACTCATCTCTTCCCATTAAAGAAAGGACCAGACAGGAAGAAGAGGGGATCCTGGGACGAATGTGGCTTAAGCCCCTGTCTCTGCTTCTCCTCTTCCCTGCTCTCTCCGGAATAACCCAACCAGGGCGGACAATTTCATGCGGTGGAAGATGTATAGGACACCTTCTCAAATTTCTTGACAGAGAATAATAAGAAAGAAAACAAGCAATAAAAAGTGTAAGTGTTTTCCCTTCAGAGTTCCGGTCATGATGGGAGAGTAAGTAAATGCTGTGGTCACCTCCTCCCATGACCACATCAAAAAGGTGTCCTTCATCATAATCCCCAGGCCAGACCCTGCCCAGGAGGAGCCGGCCCCGTCCCAGTGAAAGGTCGGTCGGTGTGAAAGCCGCGGCTTGGTCCCTCGGCTGAACTGTAGCCACCAGGCCTCCGCCTGGCCTGCTTCACCAGGCAGAAGTATCTGGTAACAATGCCTCCATTCACTAACTAGTGGCAGACTTGTCACTCCTGATGGTCCCCGCCCAGCTGAAGCTTTCATGCAGGTGTGACCTTTAATGTGGGGCATGTCAACAGGTCACAAGCAGGACCTTGCTGTGCAGAGTCAGACCCTTTGAAGTACGATCATTGGGCAGTTTTCAGGGCTTACAGTGAGTCGTTATGCTGCTAGTGCGTAGAGAGAGTAATGGAGACCTGGTCTCCATCCTATGAAGAGAATTTTGTACCAGAAGAGAAAATACAGGTCCTCTATTCCAAATGTAAAAAAGAGATCTGATGTGCTTCTACAGATCATTTAAACAATTAAAAAAAACAAAACTGGCTTCAGTTATGAGAAACATCCTTCTAGGTGGCCAGGTAGCCTTGAAATAGTTACAGGCCGCAGCTGACCTTGGCCTGTATCAGAGTCCCTCCCAAGACGACCCAGAACCAACATATCTGGTGGCCATTTCAGACCAAAACAAGCACCCCCAGATTAGATGCCTAAGTGGCTGACCTAAAGAGTGTCTCGGCAGGCGCCAAAGCCTGCTGCGGCACATCCGGCTCCAGGAAGTCGGCCTCGTACAGCACCCTGCACGCTGTGGTCGCGACGACCAGTACTCACAGCCACTCAGCCTGACAGTCAATTCTGCCCACCAATGTGCAACAGCAATCAGGGCTCAACTACAACAGGAGGGCACACACAACCCACAGAAAGGACACTCGTGGGGCACACAGATCAGGCCATCACAGAAACCGCACCACTGGGCCCACAGGTCACCTACTACGGAAGGCCACCTGGTGAAGACTGGGAGACATAGCAGACCTACCTAATAAATGGTTTGGGGAAATGTGGACAGGTACATGCCCCCAGAATGAAACTAGATCACCATCTTACACCATATATGAGCATAAACTCAAAAAATGGATTAAAGACCGAAATGTAAGACCTGAAACCATAAACTCCTAGAAGAAAACAGAGGCAGTAAACTCTGTGACACTGCTCATTTTTTTCTGATATACCTGCTCGGGCGAGGGAAACGAAAGAAAGAATAAACAAATGAGGCTGCATTAAACTAAAAAGTGTTTGCACAGCAAAGAATACCATTAACAAAAAGAAAAGACAACCTAATGACGGGGAGAAGATATTTGCCAATGATACATCCAATAAGGAGTTAATAACCAAAATTTATAAAGAACTCACGCAACTTAACACCAACTCACCCCCCACAAACAATCCAATTAAAAAATGGGCAGAGGACTTGAATAGACATTTCTCCAAGGAGAACATACAGATGGCCTACAGACGTATGAAAAGATGCTCAATGTCACTTATCATCAGAGAGATGTAAATTAAAACCGTGCTGAATTATCACTCACGCCTGTCAGGATGGCTATCCTCAGTAGTGGTAAGGATGTGGAGAAAAGGGAACCTTCCTGGTGCACCTGCAAATTGGTGTAGCCACGATGAAAGACAATAGAGGTTCCTTAAAAAACTGAAAATAGAACTACCTTATGACCCCAAAATTCTACCTCTTGGTATTAATTTGAAAAAAGTCCAAAACATTAATTCAAGAAAAACCTGCATCCTTATGTTCACTGGAGCATTAATTACAATAACCAGGATGTGGCAGCAACCTAAGTGTCCATCAACAGACCATTACATTAAGAAGACGTGGCATATACATACAATGGCATATTACTCAGCCACACAAAAAGTGCAATCTTACCATTTGCAACAATAAAGATGGATCTAGAAGGTATTAAGCTAAGTGATATGAGAGGCAAGACAGAGACAAATACTGTATGATTTCACTTATGTGTAGAATTTAAAGAGCAAAATAAACAAACAAACCAGAAACAGACTCATAGATACAGAGAACAAAACGGATGATTGCCAGGTGGGAGGGGGTTGGAGGGCTGTGTGAACGAAGTAAAGGGATTAACAAGTACAAATTGATAGTACACACTGTAACAACTATGTACAGTGCTCGGTGGGTATTAGGCTTATAGAAGGGATCACTCGTAAATTACATAATTGTCTAGCTATTAATGGTGTACACCAGAAACTAATATAAAATGATACTGAATTTCAACTGTAATTGAAAAATAAAAGAGAAATGTTTTTCCCATTTAACATCGCAGAAGAGCCAAGGCACCAGCAGCCAAGGCATCAGCAAAAAAGACCGATTTCCCAGCTCCCTGCAGATGCTCAGCCGAGAGAAGCTGACGACTGCTTACAGAAAGAGTCCTATATGTGCCAATGCAGCCAATTCTGTTCACTGAGAAAAGGGTGGTCAGTTTAATAACTGGAAGTACATAAAGCTAAACTCCTCCATCACTTCATATATAAAAGTAAATCCTAGATGTTTTAGGGATTTAAATGTCAAAAACTATAAACATTAGAAGAAAATTTAGAATAATATTTGTACAAACTTGGAGTGGGGAAAAGCCAACCCGGAAATCTAGAAGATGGAAAGGAAAATGAGATAGTTGACCATTTCTAAGTGAACACAAATTCAAATGACAAAAAGACACCATTAATAGAGTCTAGACTGGTGGTTCTCAACCAGGGTGGTTTTTATCCCATCCCTCAATGGAACACGTGGCAGTGCCTAGGGAGCTTTTGGGTTGTGAATGGACAGGGGTCAGGGGTACTTCTAGGCATCATATAACATACAGGTTAGACCCCTACAATAAGAAATGATCTGCTCCCGAATGTCAGCTGTGCTGAGGTTGAGAAACTGGTCGAGAAAAATAATAGTTTGGAAAAAACATAGTAGCAATTCAAATGACAGACAAGTTTACAACAATAGTCAAATAACCCAATTCAAAAACTGGCAAATAAACTGGCTATTCACGAAAGAGGAAAATCAATGGGAAAGATGCTCAATCTCGGCTATCTGCGAAGCGCAAATCACAGCTACAGTGAGATGCCGCTATTCACCCATGAGACTGGCGAATAAAACAAGCTGCAGTGGGCAAGGCTGGTGAGGAGGGCTTGGGAAGGAGAAGGGCGTGGCCGCGTGCTGCCTGTGAGATGTAAATCTTAACGAGTTTGTGGATTGCCCCTGAATGCTACCTACTAAAATTTTAAGTAAACATACCCTTCTGACCCAGCAATTCCAATTTTGGAATCCATGCTACACAGAGGAAAAGCATCAACACAGTAAAAAAAAAAAAAAGAAAAACTTACCTGGCAATTATCTGAGTGTCAATTAGCAGAGAGAAGCAGAAGAGCACACACAACTGTATGACTATCAGGCAGCTAATAAAAACATGAGCTAGAGCTCCACTGTTGACCTGTAGGACTCTCTCTACTATAGAGCAAGTGAAAAAAGGCAAGTTGCAGAATAATGTACATGATATGATCACATTTTTTATAAAGACAAAAACACAAAAACTCTGCATATGTATTCATAGGTTTGCATACGCACTGAGAAAGGACAGGAAGGATACACGGTAGGTGGTTCCCTCAGAGGGCTGGGAAAGGATGGGGAAGACTGTAACTTATTCTTTAGATATTTAGACATCTTTTCACTTCTTATGATAAGCATGTTATACTTTCATAGTTAAAAACAATATATGATTTATAAAAAGAACCAAAGGAAAGACAATACTATAAGGAAGGAAGAAGATCAAATCGCCCTGGATAACAGCGTATATTTTATGGCTCCAGCGAGGACAGAAGGAAGAACAGGCTTCCTTGGGGAGTGACCGGATGGCTTGCTATTACTCCGACCTTGGCCAGACCTCCGTCCCAACGGGGCCAGGAAGAAAGCTGGGTGTGGGCTCCCTAATTCAGTCACAGAAACTGGGGAAAAGATCCCAAAATGAGTACTAATCAGAGCCCCTGCCTAGGTCACCTAGAGCAATGCTTCTCATAATTGAAGCCAGTTTTTAAAATTGTTTGTTTAAATATCTGTAGAAACACGTCAGATCTCTTTTTTACATTTGGAATAAAGGGCCTATATATTCTCTTCCGGTACAAAATTCTCTTCATAGGATGGAGACCATGTCCCTGCTACTCTACCCACTAGCAGCATAACGACTCACTGTAAGCCCTGAAAAGTGCCCTATGGTTGTTCTTCCAAGGGTCTGATTCTGCACAGCAAGGTCCTGCTTGTGACCTGCTGACGTGCCCCACATTAAAGGTCGCACATGTATGAAAGCTTCAGCTGGGTGGGGACCATCAGGAGCTACAAGTCTGCCACTAGTTAGTGAATGAAGGCATTGTTACCAGATACTTCTGCCTGGTGAAGCAGGCCAGGTGGAGGCCTGGTGGCTACAGTTCAGCCGAGGGACAATAATACCATGACATCAGCTGAAGCTTTCACACCAACCTGACCTTCCAGCTGGGACAGGGGCCGGCTCCTCCTGGGCCAGGTCTGGCCTGGGGATCATGGTGAAGGACACCTTGTTGAGGACTGACATGCTAAGCTTTAATGAGTGAATGGCATGAGAAGAGACATGGTCTTTCCCTTATTAAGAGAACTTTGTAATAGAAGAGAAAATATAAACTCATTCAAGTTTAAAGAGAACACCTAAGCTCCCTAAGTCATAAGTGTGTGACCTTTGAGGTCTTGCTCGCAAAGCAAACATGGTTAAACTAGTGAGTCAGATCGGGCAGCTCTAGGTTCGAATTTGAACTCCACCATTTCCTCGTTGTTATTTAACGTCTTTGAACCTATTTAACAGTTTCCTCACCTGTGGAACTGGAGGAACTAATGGGTTGTTCCCATTACACTTGTGAGGATGTGACACTTATAACCTAACCATTAGTACCTGTCATTATTACCACCACCACCATCATGATCATACGACTTTTTATTAACTACTTCTTAGGTTCCCGGCAGCGGGCACAGAGGAGTCTGACCCGTGTGCTTATCTGGGGCGGGCAGGGAAGGTGGGCTTGGTACCAGCACAGCTCCGCCGCGGAGAACAGGAACTCACGCTTGGCTGGAAGGGCGGAGAGAACTAGGCAGACGCAGAGGCGGAGGGAGGGCAGAGAGGCCTGGCTGCGGGCTGTGCGCAGGCCGGGGCGGGGATGAGAGGGTGCTCCCGGCGAGGTGGGGGCGGGGTGTGAGGTGGGGACCAGGCAACTGGCAGGGAGGGGGCAAGCCCAGCCTGGTGCCCAGAGCCCTGCCCTCCCCTCTGGGCCCCGACGTACCCACAGCCCGATGCCCAGGACCAGCAGGAGGTACAAAACCATCACCAGGATGTCCACAGCGTTGTTGATACCAGAGTCCGCAGCCGTCCAGTTGGAGTCGATGCCAGACCAGGCAAAGTACATGGCTGTGCTTCTGGGCCAGACTGGCCGGGCTGGCTCTGCTGGAGGCGGCAACGGCTTTGACTTTGACTTCCGCCTTGGCTCCGCGGCCTCCGGGCATCCTGGGAACGGCCGCGGGGCAGCCTGGGAGTTCCTGGCCGGCCCAGGGGGCAGCGTGGGCCAGTTCTCACCAGGCAGCGAATACCTCGTTCCTTCGGGGGTGCGCTGGTCGGCGCACTTCTTCGCTGCTAGTGCAGGCACAACCCCTTCGCTCTGCTGGCTACAGCCGCTTAATCCCAGACTAAGGGCTGGTCCAGACTGGGGCTAGCGTGAGGCTACCCAGGCGGGATGAGTAACTGTCTTTCCGAGCCATAACGGGACCCTGGGGCAAAAGGAGAAACCGGTAATACTGCGCCGACCTTTATTGATGATTTCGATGTTTTGTTCATTGCGGATTTTTGGCATTACTTTAGATTTATTAAAATATTATATCAGAATATTACCTGTCTTGAGTCCTGAGTTGTTTTTTTTTGTTTTTGTTTTTTGTTTGTTTGTTTTTTTGGTGCCTCCTTACATTTTACCCCAAGGAAAATGCCCCAGTCGCCTCCCCCAGTCACGACCCCATTGGACTAACTGGTCTCGGAGGGGCCTCGGCTTTTTGCAGTTTGACTTTTATTGGTGGTGTGTGAATTTTCAATCTAAGTCAAGCAGTTACACTCCTTGGTGTGTTTCTCTGCTAAATCGTATTTTTAGAAATTTTGGTCAATAATGCTAATACTTAAAATAATAGCTAATACTTACGTAGCTGCTGATAGGTGCCAGATCTCCTCCTATGCGCTTTGCATACATAGCCCATTTCACTCTTACAGTAACCAGTTAGTCTGAGTCCATGACCACGACAGCAGGGAGGCTTGTCCTTGCAGCCAGAAGTCTATGGTCTCAGTCTCTTGAGCAGAAAAATTCTATAGTTCTAGTTTAGTTCAGTGCTGTCCAGAGACATATAATATGAATCATGTATTATTTTATTTTCTCCAGCTTTATTGAGACATAACGGACCAATAAAAATTGTACCTATTTAAGCTGCACAACCTGATCTTTTGGTATGTATATTGTGAAATAATTACCATCTCAAACTAATTAACATCAATTACTTCATTTACCACTCTGTGTGTGTGCGTGGTGAGAACACTTGAGATCTACTCTAAGCAAATTTTAAGTATATAATACATTATTATTAACTCTGGTCACCATGCTGTACATCAGATCTCTAGAACTTATTAATCTTATAACTGAAAGTTTATACCCTTCGATCAATATCTCCCCTCTTCATTACCAACCACCCCCCCGGCTTCTGGTAACCGCCATTTTACTGTCTGTTATTATGACTTCAACTTTTTTAAAAAAGATTTCAATATTCAGTATGATAAGATCATGCAGTATTTGTCTTTCTGTGTCTAGTTTATTTCACTTAGCATAATGTTCTTTACGTTCATCCATGTCTTTGCAAAATTATATATACCGGTACGTATATACCTCACATTTCTTCAACCCTTCATCTGTCCACAAACACTTAAAGTTGTTTTTACATCTTGGCTATGTAAATAATGTTGTAATGAATGTGGGAGTGTAGATGCTACTTTGCAATAGAGACTTTATTTCCCTCGAATGTATATTCAGAAGTGGGATTGCTGGATCATATAGTAGCTCTATTTTTAATGTTTTGAGGACCCTCCATGCTATTTTTCATAATGGCCGTACCAATTTACATTCCAATCAGCAGTGTACCAACATCCTCGCCAACGCTTGTTGTCTCCTGACTTACTGATAATGAATGGCCATCCTAACAGGTGGGAGGTGATACCTCCCTGTGGTCTTGATTTGCATTTCCTTGATGATTAGTGATGTTGAGCAGCTTTTCAAATACCAGTTGGCGATTCATATGTCTTCTTTGGAAAAATTTCTATTCAGGGTCTTTGCCCATTTTAAAAATTGGGTTATTTGTGTTTTCTTTGCTATTGAGTTGTATGGGCTCTTTACACATTTTGGATAGTAACCTCTTATCAGATATATGGTTTGCAAATATTTTGTTGATTGTTTCCTTTGATGTGTACCACAGATATAATTGAACACTTTTCAGTAACCACATTAAGAAAGGAAACAGGTAAAATTGATTTGAGTAATATATTTTATTTAATTGATATCTCCAAAATATTATCATTTCAGTATGTAATCAGTATAAAAATTGTGGAGATATATTATACTCTTTTTTTTCCACAGTTAGTCTTTGAAATCTTGTATATATTGTACACATCTCAATTCTCACTCTAACTTCTCACCAGAAATACTTGATCTGTCCTTAAATTTAATAAAAGGTACAGTTCAAAACATAGATTCACAAGCCAAATTGTTTTAAACGTACTAAAAAATTTTCCAGTAACTAAATATATTATCAAAATTTTATTTTCCTTTAAGTCAATGACAAAACTGGTTCATCTTTTTAGAAGAATTGATTTGACTTTGAAGCAAAAGTATATTAGTTTCCAAATTCTGTCTGTCCAAGTTAAGCAGTCCACTAACTCTTGTTGTCAACTTGGTATTATCAACATTGACTTCAAAGAGGCATTACATAATTTAAAAAGCATTTCTAAATTGATTGATCTCACAAAGCATTCTTCAGATTTTTCTTGTAGTTTTTGTCACCAATTACATAACACAGTCAGTTACAATGAAAATCTTTGACATATTGACTTATGTTTGGAGAACATGCAAAATCATTATTATTGATTTGTATTATTAAGTTCCAGTTTGAGCATAATTCCTCTACTTGGCTAGCTAGGTTACAAATAAGCCTTTCCTTTCTTTGACTATTTAAATTTTTAGCTCATTTATATATAGTACATATTAGTGAGAAATATAGGTAAGACTGCCATCTATTATTCTTGATTATTGAATATTTGACAAGCATTCCTATTGCTTCAAGAAAATCTTAAAATTTGTGAATTGTAACTGACATTAGAGTAATTTTTTATAAAATTTCCAATATTCAACCAATGAACATTGGCTAAAGCACTTCATTAAATTCATTGCTTTCTATTTCTTCAACACTTTCATAAATGACGATTCATATCTGCACACATATACTGACTGATTTTAACAACTGTATCCGTCCATGATGTTTTTTGTAAAGTCTGCTATAAAAACTAAGCACAAATATTTTTAAATACATATCGTAGGGTGGAATAAATCAAGAGGGAAACATCAGTCTCTTGTTTTAAAATTCTGTTAAATATGGAGTTTTGACCTAGCTGGAGTACTGTCTGTAATGATAAAAAACTAATGTTTTTTTCTTATTTACGTGAAAATCTTCTTTGATAAATGTAAAGAAGGTTAAAAATATGTATGCCACAAGTTTGATCTTTTAGGTCATGAATGGGCAATATTTGTTCATAGGTTTGTGTGTTATTTCAGACAAAATGTGTTCAAGATATTAATTGGGCAGTGTCTCATATCATATGGCTCAACTACAGCTAAAGAAGTGTACTTGAAATTTTTCAAATGTTGGGTCTACTCATTTTTGATGTTGTTAGAAAGGACTTTCATTCCATGGGCAATTGTTTTGATACAATTGAAAAATTTTCAACTTTTTGTAAAATATCTTTTTGTAGCATTTTCTCAGAGTTTTCTAACAAATCTCCATAATGGAAATAATTCCTTTTGTCATCTTTCCATCTAAGTTGTTTTCCTTTTTGGTAAAAGGAATCCAAGCTGGTTTAGAGCTGGCCAAAGTGTGAATTCAAAAATCTATTAAAAAAATTATAATTTTTTGACATTTATTTCTGATTTCAGGCCACAAATTTTGTAATTTTTTATCACTGAGAGCAACTTTTTAAAAATCAAATTCACTCTGTAGTTGTTGAAAATTTCTCTTAATAGTGTCCACTTAATTATCTTTAATTGTTTTTACATACCCAACAAATAGCTCTACCAGACGTATAACATGATGCATAAACATTGTGTCCTTTAGGTGAAGTGATCCCTTTGTTGTTATGACATGACCCATTTTGTACCTAGCAATGTCCTTTGCTCTGAAATCTATTTCCCTCCCTCCCTCCCTCTCGCTTTCTTTAATTTCACTTATCTCCCCACACCCCTCCCCTTTGGTAACCATCAGCTTGTTCTCTGTATCTATGTATCTGTTTTTTTTCCTTAAAAATTTTTTAAAGGTTCCACATATAAGTGAAATCATATGGCATTTGTCTTTCTCTGTCTTATTTCACTTAGCATAATACCCTCTAGGTCCACCCATGTTGTCACAAATGGCAAGATTTCATTCTTTTTTATGGCTGTATGACATTCCATTGTATATATGTACCACATCTTTATCTAATGTTCTATTGATGGGTACTTAGGTTGCTTCCATATCTTAGCTTTTGTTAGTAATGTGGCAATGAATATAGAAGTGTGTATATTTCTTGAATTAGTGTTTTGTTTTCTTTGGATAAATACTCAGAAGTGGAATTTCTGGGTTGTATGGCAATTTCTTTTTTTTAGGAATCTCCATATTGTTTTCCATATATTTATATTTAAAGTATATTTATTATTGCCAGCATATCGTTGGGCCTTCAGTTTTTATTTAATCAGACAATCTCTATTTTAAGCATTGATGTGGTAGTGTTTAAATATGCCATCATGCTATTCAATTTCTACTTCTCCCATATGTTCTTTTTATCTTTTTTGTCCTTCTTTTGGATTAATTGGTGTGTGTGTCTGTGTGCATGTGCATACTGTCACTTTACTGCCTTTGCTGGCTTATTGGCTATAACTTTGTTGTGTTATTTCAGTGGTTGCTTTAGAGATTATAGTATCTATCTTTAACTTAACCCAATTTACCTACAAGTGATATTTTTTCACTTCATACATAGTGTAAGAACTTTACAATAGTATGCTTTCACTTCTCCCGCCTTAGACTTTGTGATATTGCTGCCATACATTGTTACATTATTATCCTTTAAAGAGATTTAAATAATTTAAAAAAATGTTTTTACATTTACTCACATAGGCATATAGACTTTAAATATTTATAAAGCCTGTATTTTACTTCTTAAGATTTATATACTATATACAGTTTAAAAATAATATATAAAATTTTAATAATATATGTATTATAAAACATATCTAATTATAAGTATATAAACACATAATAAATAACTTTCACCAGTTTCGCTGGGGAGTGGGTGGAACTCTTCACTTTGCCATCCTGGCAGCGGAACTCTCCCTGTCCCCAGCCAGGTTTGCAACTCTGGATGTGGGTGCCCAGCTGGATGCTTGCGTTCACTCCGACTGCAGGGAGACTTGAGAGTAGACATCCCGGTGATTCAAACTTCCTGCCTTCTTTTCTAATTAAAAAAAAAAAATCTCTATATATCTATATATAGATATATATTGCTGGCCACACATTAACTTGAATAAAACTCTTGTTACCTTGAATTTTAATTTTCTGAGCCCTTTGGAGATACAGAGCACTTATAACCTAGCTAGCCCAGAAAGACTGGATTCATCCTCTCCACCCCATCCCAGGGCAGAGAGGCAAGGGAAACCAGATACTGACGCGTGCCAGCCCTCTCCTAGCAATTTCGCCACCTGGTGGCAACTTGTATGTACACCTTGAGCCTGGATTAGATTTAGTGGTCTTTGGCGCCCTCTAGCGATGAAACAGCTCAGGCTGGTCTTTTGAGATTCACAGTATTTCATTTGCGATGAAGTGATGTTTGACCCAGTATGTTTGCCTTTCACAAGGAAGCAGATTTGGGTGCTTGTTAGCTTTAGAGGCCAGAGTAATCAACCTGTATCCATGTCCACAGACTGTTGGCTGGCATTTCACCTGGCACAGGTCAGGTTTGGGCTCACTGGGAGGACAGTCAGTATTCCTCCCTGGTCAGCGTCCAGAGTTACTTTCCTGGTTCAGAACTCATGCATCTACCTCAGAAGATTTTTGTGGTAATTGTGAAGGACATAATGGAGGCATTTTACTATAATCTCCCTCCAGATTTGCTGGCCAGCAGTGAAAAGACTGAGAAGAGAGGCTGGTTTGGAGATTTGTTTGTTTTTTTGTTAAATACCTAGATCTTCAAAGGACATAAGGTATCCTTCTCCCTTGTTAGGGTTCCTCCTATCTCAGATCCTTTCCCCCCATCTCACCTTAATGATTTAATGCCAGTTTACTTCCAGCCGAGAGGGCACTCACCGGGACTGATCTAATTGCAAACATCCCACCACCCCAGCCCTCTATTGGTTTTCAGGGAAAATTGCCCGAATTTGTGACCCAAAGGTTGAGAGGCCTATTGTCCTTGTGACCAGTCAGAACCTCTGACCTGGTACTTCTGGGCTGCATCCTGTGTTCCATTTAGCTTGATTGGCTGCAGTCCAGGGACTCCCATTCCTTACCTTTCTTGGAATTTTCTTTCATTTAGAAAAAACAAAATCCAACCTCCTTGGCAGTAGTTTGCCTTGGAAAGGTCATTTTAATCCTTGTAGGCTACCACCCTTCCCACCTTATGAGATGTCCCATATGAATCTAAACAGATTGAGGGATGATCTTTTTTGAAAAAACATGATATTGGGGGCCATCTTGTCTGAGGCCAACCCTGAAGTCAGAAGTTTTGCCTGTACTCTAAGACTTTATTAAGACTATGAAAAGCTGACAGGCTGACTATGGAAAGTGACTTCCTCCATCCATCAAACTTGGAGGGCAGAAAAAATTTTGAAGAGAGAGAGCTGTGTGCGCAACCTCACTCTTTCCATATGAAGCCTCTGGGAGAGGCAAAGACAAAGGAAAATTGGTTCACGTGCAACGCAGCCTGTACATGTTCTGGGATCTGTGAGTGGCCCACCACTCGTTACTAGAGCTAGGCCTGAGGCATTTGAAACAGTGTATTTGGTCCCAAGGTGATGTAGCTTTTCAGTCCCTCAGATATTCTTGGTTTCTTTTATACACTGCTGGACAGACTCCTCTAACATGGCCATCCTGGGACTAACCCTCACTTGTTTTTGAAGGCCTTGCCTTCCACATTGCCCCTTGGAGAGGGGAAGAGCATCTACATCCAATCTTTGTCCCTCCCCACAATGGCCATCCCAAAGAAAGCTGCCTGTGTCCTCACGGCTGAGCTTTTCCATCTGGGTCAACCCCCATTTGTGTCAGGCGGACCAGCAGCTGGGTTGTTCAGTCACCACACTGGTCTCCTGCCCTTCCCCCTGGTGCCGGCTGTTTGCAGGATCAATGCCTGGAAGCCTCATCGTTAGAGGCCAGAGGCCATGGAATGAAGTGGAGGGGTAAGCCTGGAAATTTTGAGAGCAGCAGATGCAAAATACTGGACAGTTTCCCACCAGTCTTCATTAAAGACGACCCCAAAGCCGTCAGCCTTGGCTACTATGGAGAACTGGATTTCTCCCTTCAGCGAATGGTAATTGGTTTCTACCTACACCAGAAGATTAATATTTGAATTAATAATCTTTCTCATTCACCCTGCCCCAGGTCTCCTTAGGCAGCCTGTCAGAGGCAGAGAAATGTGTTCACGGGGCATGGGCCAGAGCTGGTCCATCGCAGTGGCCAGCACCGCAGAGGGTGGGGCAGGCTGCCGAGGTCTGCAGCTCCCAGGGCCGGAAGGCGGCTGCCTGAGCACACGGCAGGAGCTGGTCCGTGCAAGTGGCAGATGGGATTTATGTTTAATAATCTTTCCCCTGTTACCCCTACAGGGATCTGGAAAATGGAGTTCTGGGCTAAGCAGATGCTTTCTGGAAGAATGCACAACAGAAGAGATGCAAATATAAACCTATGGTGGTTGGCAATCTGTTGGGGGTTCAGGGAGCCAGGGGCTAAGTGTTGTGGTTTTGCTGTTATAGGCGCCACCCTCACTCCCCACCCACCCTACCGTAGGTGGCGATAAAAGGCTCTGAGAGCTGGGAGGCAAGTGTTACACATAAAATCAGAGGGAAGTCTTGGACCAAAGAAAAGCCCTGGGGTTTGGGGCCAGATTCCAGGTCCCAGGAGAAAGACTTGTCAGGAACAGGGGCTTCGGGGTACGCTGGCTGTCTGACTCTTGCCTAGGGGTGCTGGGTCCCTGCTTCAGATCGCGGCGCTATTCTGGTGCTTCCCAGTCAGGGGGTAGGCTGGAGGTCTGCTGGGGCGGCCTGTTTGCAGGATGTGGCGATTTACTGCCTTATGAAGTCACTTCTTACTGCAGCCCCTCCCCACCCCCAACACGGAGGGCGACGGGCAGGGGCTCCCCCATGGGAGTCCCCTCGGGCTTGAAGTCTTTCTTGGAGACGATGGGCCCTGAGACTGAACAAGAGAGAGGAGACAAACCCTGGGGAGGTGGGGGTAGATGGGTGGGGGTTTCGTCCTTCCCTGCATTCTAGGCGCTTCTCCAGGTGAACTGAGATTTGCTTGGCTTTGCCACCAGGTGACGCTGTCTACTTATACAGAAGCCCAGGGAGGTGAGGAACAGAGCAGCTGCAAGGAGTGAGTGGTGCGTGGAGCCCACTGCACCAGCTCACACTAGAGCTAATCTTGAATGCAGCTCTTCTTGACTCTGTGTTCAGTCATGCACTCCTAGCTTTAAATTGGCCACGGTGGGAGTATTGACACCACGGAAGTGAAATTGGCAAATGCTACAAATTAAGGTTCTCCCCAGGGAGCCTTAAAAACCAGCTTGAACAACCAGCTTCCAGGTTGGTTGTTCAACATTTACCATCATGCCATTGGGCATAGCGACTATTCAGTGACTGGGAAACTGAGGCTCGGGGAGTATATTGAACTTGTGGCAAAATTGGAAAAGAACCCTACTGTGTGTTTTCTTCTGTGTCCACTTGTTTACACGCTGTTCATGGAAAAGAAGTGTACATCCACTTTGGAACACAGTTTGGTGGTTGCTTAAAAAGTTAGGCAGCTAACTATACGCACCCCTAGGTGTATACTCAAAAGAAAAGAAAACATGTCTATATAAAAATTTGTACACAAGTGTTTGTTACCACAGTGGCTGACACATAGTAAGTGATTGATAAATACGTGAATGAAAGAATGAATGGTTCAGAAAGGAAAAGGTGTAGTTTGAGAGGGGAGTCTATGTAACCCCAGGTGGCCTCAGGCAGTAGAAATCTGAATCTGGCTGGAAGGTCATCTGGTCCCTTGCCAGAGAGTGTGGGCCAGGCTGGTGCATAGAAGTGGCCAACCATGGCCAGAAGGTGTGTGAGGCTGGAGCTGGTCTTTTGCCTGGATGTGAAGCTGGACTTGTTGCAGAAGTGGCTGCCAGGGGGACAGAATGGGGCCTGGGTGCAGGGCTGGAACTGGTGAGCCAGGGTTGCTGAAGTGACACGGGGCCATCCACCCACCAATCACTGGCTCTTGTGCTCAATAAAAAGGAAAGAAAGCTGGAAAATGAATGAGGCGCCTTCCTGCCACTGTTGCCTTGCAGCCTCCCTCCAGCACCCTCTATTGGCAAAGCCTAGCACTGCACCAGCTGGCAAAACAACTGTTCTCATCTAAGCAGCAGCAATCCTTTCTAGATAAATCTCATCCTCTCCTTCAAAAGAGACACATGCTCTGAAGATATGGTTAGCTCTCATTGTATACACAGCTAACCATATTAATTTCTCCTCAAATTCAGTCACAGTTCCACTGAATATTCTGCTAACCTCCAACTTGTATATAAAGTCATACTGAAAGGAAAAGAAAACATGGGTAATAAATGCAAATATGTACATACCTATAACAAGTAAAGAAAAAAAGGTGAAAAGTTACTGCAGTTCTCCTTTGTGTATCAGCCGTGAATAGGGTTGTGAGATAAAATACAGAACACTCAAATAATGAATGACTTTTTAAAAAGTATAATATTTCACACAACATTCTTATACTAAAAGGATTATTTGTTGTTGATCTGAAATTCATGTTTAAATGGGCATCTGTATTTCTTTTTGATAAATGTGGTAACCCTAGTCATGAGATTATGGTTAATATCTATGACATCCTTTTTCCTCTGCTGATCTGATATTTTGTCCTCAGCTGGAACCTCAGCTGGTCATGGATCTTTACCTGGTGCTACATCTAAACCTTTGTTCTTTAAGGCTCTTAGTGCCCTGGGTTCTGGACAAAGTCCTGCCCCCTGTGCAGCTGCCGCCCAATTTCTCCTTAGGAATCAGGATCAATTAGTCTAACCAGAAGGGTAGCCTCTTTTCCTGCCTGCTGGTTTCAACTCAGTGGAAGCACTGCAGTGCCCCCTGGTGGAAGCATTATCTTTTGGGGAACTTAGATCTCCAAAGCAGGAAGTCTCATGGCTGCTAGGATGAAAGCGAACATTCTTTGAGGGAATCATTATGGCTAATTATGAAAGAAACCATTCCCACTTCTATCTCTTGATCCCCAAGCTCAAGTATTATGTCTCTGGAAGAGACTGCACCATTTAATGGTCTTTGATTCAAAGCATAAATTGTATCCTGTAAGTATGATATTTATATTTCAGGGTGTTACCTCTCAACTTGTGCCATAACAGAGTCTTCAGTAAGCCACTCCACTTTTAATTAGGTCAGTTGCTTCTGGGCAATAGGGTGTGTGCTAAGACCAGTTAATTCCATATTGCACTTCTTTTGTTGTGGAATAAGTTCCTCAATCAGATGCAGTGCTGTGGGGAATGCGATGATGGTAGCTAAGGCATCCCAAGAGTCCAGGGATGTTGGTGCGGGAAGATGAATGATAGCAGTGAAAGCAAATCCATTTCCAGAATTTGTACCTCATCCATGATGAAAGAGGTGCAATGGAATCAATCTGCCATTAGGTGGCGAGGTGGTCCCCCAAGGAATGGTGCTGGGGCTCTCTGTAGTTCTCCGCTGTTGGCAGATTAGCCACTAGGTGGCAGCAGCATCCAGCTCAGCCTTAGTAAGGGGGACATCATGTCCACCAGCTCATGCCCAGTCCTCATGCCTGTAACCATGGTCCCTTTGTTCATGAGCACATCGGGCAAACACTGGCATGGCTGGGAACAAGGTCGACTGACATTGTGCAGTGTGTCATTTTGTCCACCTGATTATTGAGGCCTCCTTTGCAGAGTCTTCAAATGCCATTTGGTGATATGGGATGTGAATATCTTTACATAGTGTCCATTCCCAGAGGTCCATCCTGTACCTCTTTTGACTCTCTGTATCATATTTTCAGATACTGACTATTGATCCTTTTGAGTCCTTGAGCTGCCATAACAAAACACAGACTAGGTGGATGAGACTGCAGACATTTATATATCTTAGTTCTGGAACCTGGGGTGTCCTAGATCAAGGTGTCGGCAACATGATTCCTGATGAGGGCTTCCTGGCTTGCAGATGGCTGCCTTCTCACTGTGTGTTTTCCTCGCCTTTCCTCTATGCCTGGAGATAGATACAGATATAAATATAGATAGAAGTAGAGATAAAGATATAGATATTGATTGATTTCTGTTTCTTTTAATATAAGGACATTAATCCCACCACAAGGGTCCCCTCCTGACCTCATCTAAACCTAATTACCTCCCAAAGACACCATCTCCAAATACCACCACATTGGTGGTTAGGGCTTCAACATACGAATGTGGTGGGGGTGGGGGTGGAGGCGGAACACAAACATTCAGCCCATAACACTGACCATCTATCCAAACCACTGGTAACTACTGTGAATCACTGTGGATACAAATTTCTTGCTGTTGCTCAATGCAGGCTAAGCAGATCTGAAATGGTCCCTTCAGTCTTCTGTCCCTGGGAGAGCTGCCCTTCACTGCTGTCCTGAGTGGGGCTGTGGTGCTGCAGATGCCACTTTCAGGTGGTGCCAGCATATCCTGCAGACCCATTGGGAAACCAGGCTCATGACCTCCCGCCTTATGTCATGTACACCTACCTGTGTCATCTGCCAGAGCCATTTTGCCTGCATAAGGGAAGCCAGTCCATGTGGGGACTAGAGCGTGGCAGGGAGAAACAGGGCCAGGGACTCTGGGTTTCAGAGGGCCCTGAATGCCCCGTGTCTAGATGCCCAATTATGTGAGCCAATAATTCTTTCCTTGTTTGAGGTGATTGTATTGGTGTGCCCCACAGGATCCCTGATGACAGTAAACATGGGTCTGCACATACTCTGGGAGGATGGAGAGGTGCCTAGTAATTCTGCCCCAGCCTCAAAGACTGGAGAGGAAAAACCATGAATTTCCATCATACCAAGGCAAGCAAACTACTAAAAATGTAAGGGTCACAGACATGACTTTGCACAATGTAAATGCTTGGCACACGCTTCACAAATGTGTAATGCATGGAGAAAGTCATTTGGAGAAGAGCTCCCTTTCCAGGACTGGTGGGTCAGGTTATTCAGTTGAGTTAAAAGTAAATGGGTTGACAAAGATACCACAAAACTCCTACCCCAAAGAAAGCTGGTGTGGTTATATTGATATCAGATTTAAAATCTTTATGGCCAAGAAGCATTGCCTGAAATCACTTGAAGAGGATAACAGGAAATTGGAAGACTTAAATGACTTGACCCAATGAACTTGTATATAGAACACATACCCAGAGTTACAGTATGTATATTGCCTCCAAGTAGAAAAACAACATTGACAAAAACTGACCATATATTGGGTCATAAAGCAAGCTTAAACAACTTTCAAATGACTGAAATCACCCAGCATATATTCTATCACCTAAGCATATATGCAAAATACTAGAAATTAATGATAAACTAGACATCAACAATAGAGATACTAGACATTCTCACATGTCTGGAAATAAAGAAATATGCTCCTAACAGTTTAGGGAAGTAAATAACATTTTGGAAACTAGATAATGTTTTGGACTGAACAATAATGAAATCACAATAATGAACATTCTTGTGGCATGCAGCTAACGCAGTACATAGAGGGAAACTGATAACCTTAAAATGTATTTAGAAATTTCATAGAAAATAAAAAGGCCAAAAATAAATGAGCTAAATATATATCTCAGAGAGCTAAAAACAACAAAGTAATCTCATAGAAAGTAGAATAAAGGAAATAAGAAAGAGAAGAACAAATACTAAAAAGAAAAAATAGGTAACAAATAGTGGAGATGTTGAAACAAGAAAGCAGAACATTGGTTCCTTTATGATACAACTGAAATTGAAATGATTTGGTGAATTTATCAAGAACCAAAGAAAGAAGACAAAAATTACTCATATCAGGAAGGGGGGGCATTTTTGCAGACATGGAATACCTAAAATGGATTATCAAAGTCTATTATTGGAACATCATGTCAATAATTGGAGATGAAATGACATTCCTAGAAAAACTTAATCAAACATATATATTTGACTGAAGAAGAACTTTAAAATCTTAATTCTTCTAAAGGCATTGAATCAGTAGTCAAAGACCTTCCTGCCAAGAAAACTGGCTCAGAGAGCTTCACTGGTAAGCAATTCCAACCTTATACAAACTTCTCCGGAGAATAAAAGAATTCTATTAGAGAATAAACAATGTCTCATTTTATAAAGTGAACACAACCTGGTCTGCAAAGTCGGCCAAGGGCAGCGAAGGGGGATTACGGCGCTCTACCACTCAGGAATAGGGATGCCAACGTTCCGAACAAAATATTATCACCCCGACTTCAGCCTTGGTGCGGAATACCATACGACGGACAAGTTCCAAGACCGGAAGATTGGTTCAACATGAGGAAACTCAACGCATTAATTCAAAACATTAAGGGAGAGAAATTGTGTCAAAAGATGCAGAAAAATCAGTGAATAAAACCCAACAAAGGATTTTTTAAAACCCATGCATCATATAAGGGATGTATGAAAACATCCTTAATCTAAGAGAATCTTTAAAGGAAACCATAGCAGTACCGGAGTCAGGCAAGGGAAAGAAATGAAATGCATAAGAATTGAGAAGATGGCAACCAAATTGTCGTTATTCACAGATGACACGGGGAAGTCTGTAGCAAGTCCCACAGGAGGTACAGATAAATTAATAGAGTCTATTAAAAAATAGAGCAAATTTACCAGATCCAGTTTCAGTATATAAACTTACTATATCTCTATATATCAACAAATGAATAGAAAATAATGTTTAAGAAGTGTACAATTTACAGTTGCACTACAAAAGTGAGTTAACTAGAAATTAGTCTAAAAAGCTGTTCAAGCCATTTGTTTATGGGGGCAGTTAAAACCTATTATTAAAACCTATTATTAAAACCTATTAATGGGAGAAAGGATAGTCATGGATTGAGAGATTCAACGCAGTGAAGATGTGAATTTTCCCCAAATTGATAGGTAAATTCCCCTGAGAATTGGTTCAAGGTGCAAAATTCCCCTACCTTTTTATAGGGGGTGGAAGTCAAGCAGCTGATTCCCATAAAGAGCAGCTCAGGTCCTCTTGACTGAGAAGAGCACTTTCCTCTTTCCTGGACATTTGGGCAGCTTCAAGGTCATGACCAGAAGGTCCTGGTTCCCTCCAATGATCCCTCAGAATTCTCCCTCTCTGTCCTTGAGGACCCAGAAGCTGGGGTACTCTGTCCCCAACTGAGAGGCGACCTGGAGCTGTCCCTACTACTGGCACAGGCCTGGACAAGCTTCTTCCCAGAGCGTTGGCCCTGAGTAGCGGCGCCGGAGATCCCCGTACTGTCCGGGAGTCGCCCCGCCCCTTCCCGTCCCATCCTCCTCTAATCCTGGGCAATCACGCCCTGGGCTCCGGGATCGCTTCACACAGGATGGCCGCTAGAGGTCGCTGTCCCCTCGCCAGAAGCTGAGGGAGGTGCTCCAAGGAGCGTAGATCAGAGGAGCGGGGACCAGGAAGGCAGGACTGGCTCAGGGACCCCCGAGTGATGCCGCGGGACACTGAGTCTCACGGGTCACATGAGACAGGGACAGTGTGGGGGCCAGGATGGCGGGGCTTAGTGACTGCCAAGTGACACCTGGCGTATTTACCTGAATTCCCATTTAATGCCATGAGTGAATGCCCACTACTGGGGATAGCAAGTTCTGAGCGTCAACAAACCAAGGAAGGGCTGATTCGGAGAATGGTACGGTGGCCTCTCGCTGGGCTGTGTATTAATCCTGCTGGTCCAGAGAGCGGGCCGCAGCTCACAGGAAACCCTATCATAGACGCCCTATGTCCCCCAGTTCCAGGTCGGGTATGTGCGCTCCAGAAGTGCTGGTGTGTGCGTGGACGGAGCACAGGGGTTCTCTGGGCTGTGTGTGTGAAAGGCCAGGGCTGCCCTAGCGCCCACCCGCTGGGGACCCGCCAGCACTGTGCTGTCTGTTCTCACATAGCCATCTAGCTCTCTGTATTTGATGTGGTTGGACCCTAGTTGTAGGGATACATGGGTAGGAAGTTAGAAGGAGCATGGTTGTTGGCATGATGTCCTCCAGGTACATTTGAAAACTTGGAACAAAATGCAAGGTGCTCAGCATGATGTTCAAGCCCCAGGAGCCCGCTGGCTCCCTCTCCTGCCTTCTCCACTTCCTTGAATCCGGCCACACTGGCCTTGCTGCTCCTGCAACTTGCCAGGCACATTCCACCCCAGGGCATTTGCACTTGCTGTTCCTGCTGCCTGGAGCGCTCCTTCCCGGGCTCCTCCATGGCTAGCCACCCGGCGTCATCCAGGGATGGCCTCCCCTGACCATCCTTCTGAAACCCATAGTTGTTACGCTCTCCTTCCTATACAGCATAATGTCTTCTTTGCCCCGGCCTGTGCCACCCACTGGAACTTTGCTCCAGAATTTGGTCCTAGAGGCCACTGCTGTTTCCCCAGGGCCTAAAGCAGCACCAGGCTTTGGAGCTGCTCCATAGCTTCGTGTGGAATGAAAAGTGCTTGGTTTTTCCTGGAGTAGGAGGGAGCTCATGGGATGGTGGGAGTAAGGGGTGGGGACAGGGGGCAAGGGGAGCCTAGTATGATCAGTTTCCCTTCATAAAGGTTTCTGAGCTAGTTGACCCCCGTCTGAGCTAGTTTGTTGCTTCTGTGTCTATATCAGTGTTTTTGGTGTTTTTGTGTTTCTGTAACTCCCAGCCGCCTCCGCGGCCCACACGCTCCCATTCAGCATGGAGGAGCCTGCCTCAGGTACTCTCTGGTCTGGGAATTCCTCTCCCCCAAGGTGCCTTCTTCCCTCCCTGGGGGCTGTGCGCCCTGTGTATGTGAAAGGTGGGTGTACGAGACCACACCCCAGCTCCTCTGCTGCAGCCCCTCCCCTCGGAGAGGGTCCAGGCTTTGTGTTCTGACAGGGCCTTGGGAGCTGGACCTTGAGCTCCTAGGCCCAGTGGGAGGGGGCGAGAGCACTGGCTTAGGAGTTGGGGCCTGGGATCCACCACCTGTGCCCTGGGTGACCTTGGCCAGGTCACATCCCTCTCTGTGAAAGGAGAGAATACTCTTCTCAGACTTGTGCAGCTGGGATTTCCGATGAACACTCCAGGTTATTACTGAGGGGACTGTGACCTTTTAGAGAAATAACAACAGCTGCCAGTAGAGGGCACTGTCCGCTCGGGTGTGCACCTGTGTGAGTGTGAAGGCACGTGAGTTGTGTGCTTACGTGTATGTGTGTGAATGAGAGTGCGAAGGGGCGCGGCACAGGAACACCTTGGATGTGTTGATGGGAGTGCAGATGGGACACCTCCGTGTGGCCCATGGAGGACAGGCAGGTGAAGGCGGTGACATTCCTGTGCAGGCGTCACCCTTGCACGGTGTGTGGTGACTGCCTGGCTGGGGTCCTGACCCCTTGGCCGTCCTGCACTCAGGGTAGCTCCTGACAGGCCCGAGCTCCTCTCCCTAGGTGTACACTTGAGCCTGTCAGGTTTGGGGGGAGGCCCAGGCTGGGCCCGGGTCCGTCAGAAGGGACCCAGGTCTGGGGGTGATTGTGGAGCATCGGGCAGAGGGGTCACTGTGCTCCCTGAGGCCTGAAAGGAGGGGTGGCAGGAGGAGACAGCTTCTCTTGCAGACATTGTATATCACGTTCCTTATGACTAAGACCCGTTTCTGTGTCCCCTCTGTTCTGCTCATGGCGGAACTGAGATCTACTCATAGGGAGGTCACACAGGGGCTCCCTGCTCCAGTCGGGTGTTGCCCCTGAACCTGGGTCTCCTTGGTTAGGGTGCGAGGTGGAAACTGGAGAGACTGGGAAGCTGATGTTCAGTCTCAAATGTGCTTCAGGTCTGAAAGCCCAGAGGAAGGAAGGCACGGGCCTGAGTGGGCCAAGTCAGGCTGGGCCAGGAGGCCTGGGGGCGGGGGGGGGGGGGGACAGCCAGCTCTGCTGACCCTGAGGGCTTCTCAGCTCAAAGTGGCCAATCCTAAGCTTTAGGGAGCAGGCCACAGAGCTCAAGCAGGGCTGAAGGAGGCCCGCTTAAGGCCAAGGCCGTGTGAGTGCCATGCAGGGTAGAGCAGGAGGCCTTGAGCCTTAAGTCCTTTGCTGCCTGTGGGACTTGGTGTCTCCTGTGTAAGCTCAATGGATTGCCCTTCCTGGGTTCTGCAGTGACCCCCCAAATCTCCTACTAACTCCTGAGGCTGCTGGGTTGGGCAGCTGGGACCCCTGGTGGGCCTGACACCCAGGCTCTGAGACCAGGCCCCATGGGGTGGGGGCACCAGGCTCTGCTGCTGGAGGCGCTGGGGCTGGAGGTCTCCTGTCTGTCTGCCCATATCAAGGGCAGCTCTGCCAGGAAGGCCAGACTGGGGTCTCTGTCCCCAGAACCTGAGAGGCCATGTGTTATCTGGGATAGAGGAGACAAATCCCCTCCCTGGGCCCAACTGTGGGAACCACCACTGGGGCCTCTGGGCAGACCCCGCAGACCCCGCCTGCAGCCCACTCACCTTGGGCCACATTCCTAGTCCCTCACTCCCCGCACTCACAGGCCTGCAGTCCCCAGAGCAGCCAGAGGCCGAGCTCGTAGCCCCGAGCCTTCTCCTCCCACTGGGCGCTCGGTGCTGCCAGGCAGACGCAGCAACGTGGTATGGGGAGGGGTCCGAGGCCTCCTGAGGAAGGGGGTTTGGACCTGGTTCAGGTCACTGGTGCGGGGAGCGCCGAGGAACTGGGAAGAGGCCTCAGGGCCCTCTCTGGCTCTGCCTCAGAGCAGGGCTGGGGCTGGGGTGGGGCAGGTGGGAGGACACTGACCCCGGGCTCCTCTCTGCCCACACCTGAGCAATCCCTTCCTTGGGATCCAGAAGGCCCTCCAAGGCTCTGAGGGGTGTTTGGGGATGGTGTGGTACAGTCTTGTCTTTCTGGACGGTCTGGAAGTTGGTCTGTATCATGCTTTCAGAGCCTGAGACAGGCATGGTCTGTGGTCTGCATGAGGAAGGTCAACCTGAAGTCAGTGGTGGGGCCTGTGCACAGGGACGGAAGCCGTGGCATTGGCGGTGTCCGGTGTGGAGCAGTGCTGCCCAGCAGGGCCCGGGACGGGCAGCCTGAGCGTTGTTAGAGCCGCGGTTCACAGTGTGATGCACGCCCAGGCCACCCACACCTGTGTGGGCATGCTGCTCAGTGGAGGAAAAAACTCTCCATCTATATGTGTCATCTCTCTCTCTTTCTCTCCCCCTCTCTCTCTCTCTCTCGCTCTCAAATCCAAGGTCATGTCTGGAAGGACACATACCAGATACAACCAGCACAGATCTGCAGGCTGTGCTGGAAACTTCCTTATACTTTATTTCCTGTTTTATTTTTAAAGAATCTTTGTATTTCTTGATATAATAAGGAAAAAATTTAAGCTGCCTCCACCTTTGAAAACCAAGCAAAGGGACACAGTGTGTTACGCGAATTCGGGGCGTTGGAGAGACTGTCACTCCGAGCTCCAGGCGGCGATGCTGGGCCCCGCTCGGCTCCGGGGCAACCTGCTCAGCATGGCCACCGCCGGCGCACAGCAGGGTGTGGTTCCCCACCGTCGGCGTGAACGGGTATCTGAGACACAGTGTGGAGAGAAAGGAAACACACGCAGCCTAACAACCCATGTGACGCTCAAACACAGGCGAGGCTGAGAAATGGTTGGCTTAAGGGCACGCACAGGGGAGGTAAACCTGTAAAGAAAAGTGGAGAACCGGGGGATCCAGAGGTCCTGACCACGTTCTGAGTCTGGGAGGCTAACTGATCAGGAGTCCACGTCACTCAGAAGTCACCATTTTAAAGTGAACAATTTGGTCACCTAGTATGTTCACAACATTGTGCAACCATCACCACTATTATTATTACTTTTTAAACTTTACTGATGCATTTTATTTATTTGTTTTGCGCTCCTTACAGTTTATAATTAAAATAGGAGATCCATCAAAATACTAGCAGTGGCGCTTCTGGGTGAAGTGTGTACGTGGATTTCTTCTCCTATTTGTTTTTCTGTGCTCTTCACGTTGTTTACAGTAAGTAGTTATTGTTTTTAAACCAAGACCAATACCAATACTCTATTTTAAGAGGAACTCAGAAAACAACAAGGTGATTTCCCTTACTCTGGAAGGACACCTGTGTCCTTGTAGCTCATTTACACCCTGTTGCCTCCACCTGGGCCTGGAGTTCGGGACCCTGGAGGTGCTGGAACCTCTGACAGGGTGGTCTCGAAGGGGAGAGAAATCTCCCGTAGCCTTGGCAATTTCCTTCCTGGATTATCTATCTGCTCCAGGTCCTTTGGCCCACTCCATGTTTGATAAACTTTC